TTGAAATTAGTCGTTAAAGTTAAATAGGTCAATTTGCGTTTTGAAGAGTACAAAGTGCAAAAAGTTTGCAATATTGCTCGATCAAAATTGCCTTCTAGAACATTCATCATCGCTTCGTATGAAAATTGTAATAATCATCAGCTTAAAAATGTGGAGCGCAAACTGCGCAAACGAATGATGTCGTATAGCCCTTATTTTGCTAAGATTTTGATGACGACTTAGTTTTATTGTTGTTTTTAATTAGGCAATATCGGAAAACACGGGTTTTCACATAAATTTACCGCGAAGTAGTTATGCTAATTATAACAAAAACACTTGAGTGTTTTGGATTTTAGATATAGGTAAGGTGAAAATGGTAATTTGGGAAGATTAGAGACACAGAGAGAGATAATTAATATAAGTGTAGCCATAACGTTTTATTGTTAGTCGGTTGCAAGTGTGTGTTGCAACATCTTTAACCGGTAATCTTGGCTCTTGAGTCTTTGTCTTGTCGTTTTCACTAAATATCCAACATGGTATGTAGGTAGGTTATTTAGCGTCTCATTTCAAAACAAACTAAAATATGTTTTTGATGTTTTTCATTGAATACTCTTTACGTATTTCTTTGTTACCGTTGACAATGTTTCTTAACTAGCTCTTATCGTTACTTAATTGCTTAAAATCATTACAAAAACAATTACCTAAGTGGCTTTTTATTTTAAAAATGTCCAATTAACCTCTTTTCTTTAAAATTAGCACGTCATGAGACAGTTTCTCGTAACGGTTGGAGTTTGTACCCCGTGTTCTCGGTAACCGTTTCATTTATGTCTCAAATAGAATAAGTGAGTAACATTTATTTATAAAATGTATTATAGTTTATGTATTTCAGTATTTGTTTTATTATCCGCTTGACTGTCTGTCAGTTGTATTCTCAGACTTGCTCTGATTCATTTGGCCATGTACTTACTTCGTCTACCTATTGTCTTTTTTTACATTGATCCTTTTTGGTATCAGATTGAAGTACAGTCACATTTTAAGTTTGTTAAGCATTTAATACAATTTCCATGCCCATCACCCTCATCATTGGGAGTCCAAAGGTTTACAGATTGAATTCAACCATGGAATAGAATCTAAATCGTCACGTGAAAAGTTAAGATGGTACATTGAAAAATAACTTCTAGAGCTATGGTAACAAGGTTGAAAATGAATTTTCAGGATGATATCACGCATTGTGCACGTGCTCGTGCGCACGGTAGAGAGTTCACAGCTGTTGTTCAAACGGTGGACTTTGGACCCGGGCCACAATCACCGGTGTAACCGCGTGAATAACGTGTAACGATCCGTTGATTTGTTTGGAGATATTTGATTGAGTCATCGCTTCACTTCATCAGTACTTTATTTTATGACGCGATCTAACATTTGATGTTTTAGCGAGCCTGTTTCTTTTTAATATAGGTACTTACAATAGTAATTACTCAATAATATGAATAACTTTGAGAACAATGAATAGACAGACTGCATTTAGCCACAAAGGTTGTTTGAAGTTTACGTTATTTTAAATACAAAGTGCGTTCTTAATTCTTACGTAGTTATTATCCACTCTGACGTCCGCGGATAGTACGGTATCCAAGAAAAAAGTAGCGTCATACGCTCATGGATACTATAGTATCCAAAGCGACGAGTTGTGTTTAACGCCCTCTAGTTTGAAATACGGTCTTGCTTGGTGAGTTTTGACAGATTATCTATACAGTTGAATAAATAGTTCGACGAAAAAAATAGAGATTGCAGTGTAATAAGCTTTGACAAACAAAATATAATTTTTTAAGTTCAGTTGACTCGTTTGACGCGCGTTTTGTGAAGTGTTTTTGTGAGTGCCAACAATTATATCGTAAGTACTACAGTTTTGTTTTATTTATCTTACAAGTGTTATACATCAAAATAAACTAGAAGATTTGTGCTTTACGATGATGTATAAATATCACAGTTTTCGCTGATAAATCTAGTCTACTTTTAACTTCAAACTATTGTTGTTTCGAAAAAAATGGCCGGTCGTATGGTGTCGGCCACTTTTAGTTTTGTTTATACATATTTTACATACTTTGCATTACAATAGTATATAAAATATCGAAATACATTTCGTAATAAGCAAAATAATACATTTTTCAAAGAGAAATATACTAAATTCACTGAAGATTCCATAATAATGTCAATGTGTTCCTCAGGTTTTTTGATGTGGACTGTTTGGTATCCACGGACGTTACATGAAACGTGATAAATAAGGTTCGCTATACACGGCAAAATATGTTTGCATTATTTTTGTTTTGCTAGTGGTGGTATAATATTTTGCTTGAGATGATACTAATATTTAATATAAAATGCACTTTTGGGTTTTGTACTAATATTCATCATTTATTTTTCGCTTGGTTTGCGTTGGATATGTATAATGTTCTAATGGTTTTTTTTTGTTTTGAAACATTAATTACATATTTGTTCGTGTTGATTAATTTCCGCTAAATGTAAAAAAATGCACTTGTGGATTTGACTACCTTTCTTTTTTACTTGCACGTGTTGCATGGTCGCATATATTTTAATGCTTTGTCGCCAAATTTTATTTTATTCTTTTAACAATACTAATGTTTTAAATTATTCATGCAGATCACAAAATGAAAGCTTTTATGTTGAGGGAAATGGGGGAACTAGCGGACGTGGGGGAAACAGGGGACGTGGGGGAACTAGGGGACGTGGGGGAAACAGGGGACGTGGGGGAAACAGGGGACGTGGGGGTCGCGGTGACCGTGGCAGTCGTGGAAGTGGTGAGACACGCGGGAGACCATATGGAAGTGTCTACAATGCGACGTCAATCTCTGTATTGAAAATTGTTTTATGGCTTACCATATATAAATGTGTGGAAGGAATAAATTATTATATTATATATTGATTTTTTTATTTGCTTTTTATTTAAATAACCAACTAGAACAAATAAACAACTTCAAAAATACAATTATTGCACAAAACCAATTCATAAACAAAATTATTTAAAATATTTTATTAAAATTACATCGTGTGTGGGAAACCTTAGACGGGCGGCCATATTGCTATTATTTCGCCTTCTCGGACGAGTCAAGGTCGCGCGGGACATCGCGGTAAAATTACGAGGAGTAGTGTTTTGTTTTGATTTAATTAAAATACTTAGAGTTAACCGAATGTAATCATAGAAAGGGTAATAAGTCTAGTTTGTTGTAAAAATATTTTATTGATAAAATATGCAATAGTTGTGCCTTATATTCTAAAAAGGTAGAAATAATTGTGTATTTTTTTTCTGAATTACATGTTTAACCCGGTTTTTTGTATCAAAGATTATAACTTACGATTTAGAAAAATCGTTAAGATTGATCAGTATTCTTCAATCTTTTTTTTGGTATTTTTTTCTTTATTCTAGCCATTACGGTTCAGTAGCTATATAGGTTTTTTGTTACGACGAACTTGCGAGTCGCGCGCGGTTCGGACGCCGCGCGCAGCTGGACGTTAGAGAGGTAAACGGTCGCGCGGCCCGGACGTTAGAGTGGTTATAGATATCCAAATGAATATCGCTTAGTAAGCAACAGGTTTGATTTAGGAATAATCTAATCTAAAAAAAAGTTTTATATTTTTTGTTAAAGTTCATGCATTTAATCTTTTTGGTGTATCTAATGACGTCATAAGGGACCTTATAATGCGTCTACAAATTAAATTTAAATAAAGAACCCAAAGCGAGTATTTTTTAATTTCATTAAAATTGTAGGTCAGTGCTCTTACTGTCATTATAAGTATGAATAAGTTTCTTACGTGAGGCGAATCACGATGAGCGGTAAAGTACTTATGTATAGAGTATCTATCTATGTTGGCATGTATGTAACTAAGTATGTTTAAATATTGGTAATGGTACCTACTCAATGATTTATTTGCACATTATCCAAGTATGATAAACGTAAAATCCAAATAATCACGTGACTCTCCAAAAGATCATTTGAATTGCAAATTAACTATATTTTATCATGTACTCGTCAATTGGATCGATTATTATAGGTGGGTAACAGATACTTATCGGCTAGGTGCTGGCGATCTAATGTAAGAATAAATTTTACTACTTACGATGTTAACTGATTTTAAAATCTGGACGCTTATTACAACCTCCTTAAACCACCTGCACCAAAAAGGTCCTATGCGTAAACCAACAAGAACAAAGGGCTACATAAGAAATTGTAAACTCCTGCTGAAGGAGAATGGTGCAATCATTACTTAACATTACAAATCTGTTTGAAACTTGTTACTATGCTGTATTGCAGCATTTCGCTGTTTTCCTTGGCCACTGTTGAATCAACAGAACATTCGGTAAGGATTGCCCTAAATTCAAAATGCATCGAATGATTGGCTGGAAGTCAGCCAGCAGTTAAAATAAACATTCCGGCGGCAATTCTAAAGGCAGGATTTCAATTTTGAGTAATTTATAACCTTAATTCGTAGACCATGACCACCTTAACGTGTAGTTTTCATTAGAATAAACATTTGAACAGCAATAATATGAGAATGATACGTTTATTGCATTTCATACAACATCACGAAGGTAAAACGTGTAGAATGCCATTTGCCGGGTCCAAAGTCCGCAAGGTAAACTGACGTCGCCGTCACCGTCGCCGAGCAAACGTGTCTTGAACAATGCTTTTGTTAGATATATAATGTACAATTACTACAAGAATTTTACTCAACATCACTAAATACCATTACAATATTACATGTTAATATTTTACAAACAAAAAATCACCCATATGTTATTGTGATAATGTTACGTTTGTGTAATTCTGTTCCTGCTACGTAATTCGCGATTAATAATATGTAATGGATAAGCAATTCATAGTTTACACACCATGAGGAACTGCAGTTATGGGATAGGACTGTTTGTAAACAACAAAGAGTAAAAATTTTGCATGCACAAATATAAAATTAATAGAATAAATATGAATGTAATGGTTGAGCATTCTTACCTTTTCAAGGCAGTCTTGTCCAATTGCATTGGGCTCCACTTTGACTTCCAAAATCACAGAATTAGGCTGGCTAACTAACCACATTTTGTCAAAAATTTTGATGAAAACAATAAAAATAGACTAAAAATGAGGTCGAATTATTGTTACGCGTTATTTAATTTCGCGGTTTATCACTTGTCCAACAATGTTTATCTCACTCGCGTAAAGAATTTATTTAAAAAAGTCTTTCTTAATTCGCTCTGCGCAATGTTTATCGCGTATTCTTTGTGGAAGTAAAACTGTGAATACTTCCAGACGACGGCCATACTACGTTAAGTTTGCCTCCGAAATGATAAAGAAAACAGTGACGTTACTGACGCGGGGGGCGCGGACTCTGTACTTCAACGTTGATCAGTGTAAATAGCGTATATTTATTCAATGTACATTACTGCTTCAATATTCCTACGCCACCCGCGACTTATCCAGTAATACATCGATGTACACGATACAAAACGATTTCGCTGTAGCACTGATGACTTAAACACGGATGGGATTGAAGTTTTGTTTCGCTCACTCGTGATATAAAAAAAGAGACAAAGATATAGTAGAGGCCAAAGCCGGAGGGGCAATGTGGATTTGTTAATGACACGAATTTTTTCACTCTTGTATATTTTATTATCTTTTTTATTAATATTTTTATAAAAATGTAAGACTGGCTAAGTAATTAAATACAAAACGGAAACGTTAATCAAAATCATTCTTGTTAATAGGAAAAAACAGCATGCAGCAGCAGCATTTGACAATTAATAAATAATATTATTATTTATTCAACGTTACTGTAATTTCCTCACATAATCGAAAAGTGAGTAAATAGATCGCAAACTAAACTTTTATAGTTATATTGGAAAGGTAATGGTATTCAATCAAATTACAGACGCTAAACCTGAACTTTAAAGCTGAAATTAGAATTTCCCGCTAAATGATTTTTGTCTCTGGTACAGATTTTTACGGGCTGTCAGTTTAAAGGTGTAAAAAATATTAATAGTACAATAGGTAGGTGTTTATTAAACATTTTCATAATAAATCGATATTTTTTATGTAAGTCCAAGTGTTTTGTCATTCTGGATAAATGTGAATTATAAATAATTATAATGAAAAATTTTACGACGTTACATATTTTTTATAGATATATTAAGCATAGACACCACAATATTTATTGTGCAATTTTAAAATATACATAAACATTAAAGTTAATTTTCGTAAAATTGTTGAATTTCTTGATAAAAAGAAATAATGTAGTTTTTGTAATAATTTTAAAATAATAAAGCAGTTCTCTCTACTGCCATCTATTGCAAAACAAAGTAAACTAATTATCAACACGTCACATGCAATCCGTTATGCGCATACTTTACATTTTGCTTTTAAAAGTTATTAACAAACAATACAATAACGTTAGCTAATATTAAAAAAATTACGATATAAGTATAGTACTTATCTTTTCTACAACTATTTTCGAAAAAGAAGTCACAACATTAGACAGTAAAATTTGCTTAATTTTTATCTTTATGGTTCGATTTACGCAGAAATACAAAAGCACGAGCCGCTGACAGCGCCAGTTGTGACAACCTAATGGTACTAAAGTAATCATATGACTTTCGTCACGACGATCTACTGCGCTTATTGATTTGTGTCTTGGTCTTGATTCTCGCTCGACATAGTTTTTGTGTGTATCAGAAATGGCGAGTCAGACACAGGGAATCCAACAATTGTTGGCGGCTGAAAAGCGCGCTGCCGAAAAGGTTTCAGAGGCCAGGAAGCGTAAGTTATTTTTGTCGTACTACGTATTTTACAATTAGGCCTTGTTTAGTACGTTTCCACTTTGTGAGTTACTTTGATGTCATATTAATCATGTTACCATGCGATTATTAAGAGCATATCATATGATTCTTTTTGTAAATATCGTTAATTTGTGATGAATTTGTTGTAATGACAAGATCACATGATTTTTTCACTACACCCTTCGCTTGATGGCTGACTCTATTGATAACAGCTTCTGGTTACCTCCTTCGCTCCATTTAATAAGAGTTTGTTCTTATTTGAAATAAAATTTTAAGTCTTACGTCATTTTTGACTAACTGTGTCAAGTTTGTATTCAGCTTCATTAGTTACTGATAAATATTTCCCAATAAGACTTTCTGTTGTAAAACTAAATTGAATATCCACCCTTCATGTTTCTAACTGAAAATTTAGGTCATTTTATTCAAATTGAGCTGAAACACAATGCATTGATGTTTGAAGTACTTGTCTCATTCTAACTCCCTAGTTAGTATCTGGTAGTATGAGCTTCCTAGATGAAAAGCCTTACATAAGTCATAAGTTCAGTTGTAAAGCCTTATTTCTTTAGTAATTACTTACAGGAAAGATGTAGCAGTAGATATCACTAGACCTTGGCACTTACTATTGTAAAACAATCAAATCTTATACATTTGCTTCAATGAATATCATCTTAACATCAGTTAACCTTTAGTATAAACCTATAGATTCATTATACCCTTCATAAATTATTTACTTCTATAACTAACAGTGTTCCGTATGGCTATTTTACATCTAACACACACTTATTTACTAACTTACAACCATCAAGTTAAGAATTCTAAATAAGCACCAGAGATGTTAGTTAGTAAAGTAAGTAAAGTTCTATTTTATAGTAAAATTTCTAAATAGATTCCTGAAATGTTACAGGGAAAGCAAAACGCCTAAAGCAGGCTAAGGAGGAGGCCCAAGATGAGGTGGAAAAGTACAGACAGGAGCGTGAGAGGCAGTTCAAAGAGTTCGAGGCCAAGGTGAGTCTCAGAGGAGGAACTTAGTTATTTTTGTCTGTTATAGTAAAATGGCTCGGAGTTCTTCTAGCTGACTGGTTTGTATATTGGCAGTAGTGTAATTATTCCAGTAAAGTAGTAAACTACTAAAGAAATTGGAATAAAATTAGGCCTTTGTCTGCTGATAGAAAACTATTGAAAGCAAATTGTGGTCAGTGGTGACCTATGTGGGTGGGGTTAACATTCTATTTGGGCTTAAGTATAGATATTGTTTGAGATTTAATGATTTTCCTGAATTTGCGGATCAACAACTACCATATTGTATACATATGTCTTATAAACATGTTATTTGAATAAATGGGAGAGGCATATAATCGAGGTATTGATATTATGATTCGAAATTCTGAATTTAAATTGGTAGTAGTTTAAAGACATGAAGTAGAAGGAAAGGTACAGCCCTACCTATATATAGACACATTGTTTTAATCAGTTACAATTTTGACAGATTTGATAGATTGCAAGTGATAGATTGATGTTATCTTCTCAGCTGTGTTAGATATTATGATGTTTGCAAAGATTTTTAGTTATTTCCTTCAGTTTTTTACATTTAAGAACAAAATAGTATAAATGTTTAAAGTTTCAGATTTAGTATAGGATGTTAAGTATTTGAACTGTTTCATTGGGCAAAGGACAGTGGAACATTAACAACTGGATACATTTTATTAATTAATTTATACTCTATATATTTTACATATCATTGACATTAATTTGTTGCCACACTCCTCCTTGCATTATTCAATTTCATGATAAATAGCTAGTTGCTAAATTAAAGTAGAATTTCTAAAAATAAAAGAATTTGTGGTATATTTGAATACTTTTTCTTTATTATGAATCTGTTCTCATTATTATGTTATTATCTGTGCAGCACATGGGCACCAGGGAAGGTGTTGCTGCTAAGATCGAAGCCGAGACCAAGATCAAGATCGAAGAGATGAACAAAATGGTGAAGACACAGCAGGAGGCCGTATGTATAATTTACTATTACTATCTTATTTTTATTACATTACATTACATGCAATAAGTATTGAAGCAATTTGAATTCAGACAGATTTTTTGGTAGTCCAGCTAAAAAAAAAAATTTCATACTAGGTTTTGCCAGCGGCTTTGTCTGTGCTACCCAGGTGCAAAGTAGTCTATGTATTATTCCACACTACAGACTATAATATAGCTCTGTGCCAATTTTCATCAAAATCAATTCAGTAGTTTGTATGTGAACAACTAACAAACATCACTCGCATCAAAATAACAAACTTTCTCTTTTATAATGTAAGTAGTATTTACTTTTTGATATTATTATATGGATGATCAATGTGGGTGTAGTTTTCATTGTGTATTTAAAACAAAAATTCAAGAAACAACTACTAGATATTAGCCAAAAAGACGCATTTAGCAACTTCTATTTCTGTCCTCAGTCAGTATGACCTCATCTACTCAATACTTGTATAGGTAGTGTTGATTGTAGTGAATTTACAAGAGATTTCGATAGTTGTTTTGTTATTGTAATACCTTTTATGTCGAACTTGATTCATCAGAATAGTTTCTCAAATTGTGTGTGCCACACAACATAATTATCGATTTAATGTGTGTGTAAATATGTGTTACCTATTATTCTTTTTTTTTGTTATTATCTTTGCTTCTTCCTTTGGAAGGCGTACAAGTGCCCTTAGCCATTTTGCAGTTTGCAGTGGCCCTTTGAACAACTTTGATATCAGTGAAATGGGACATCAGCTAGCAATTATCCCTGTATGCACTGGAAGTGCACCGAAAAATCCCTAGTTGATTAAGGACTTGCGCAATATGGGAGAAATTTATATGGCTACCTGTGGACTAGGAATTATGATAACTATGGTCACTGCGCCGCCCAATAACCCTGCCTTTCTCAATTATCATGTTTATTAGTATATTTTTTCTTTTATATATTCTTTGTCATATAAAAATATACAAAGAATATATAAAAGAAAAAATATTGCTTCTTTTCTTCGCGCATTCGGGTAAAGAAGACTCATCATATTTTTTCTGTCTGCTTCCAGGTGATCAGGGATATCCTCAACCTGGTGTACGACATCAAGCCAGAGCTGCACACCAACTACCGCATCCAATAAGCGTATTAATTTATACAATACCTGTTTGTCGCATATTAAACATTTTGCGATCACCTAGTTGTTATCTTTATGGTATTTCTTTTAATTATAGGTCATAGGCACACGGCAGATATACACAAGCTGTCACAATCGATGATAATCGATTTCAATCGATTAGAATCGATTCGTGAGTTTTTACATCGATTTTAACGGTATGAAAGCAGCCGGTTGCGATTCTCAAACATCGACGCCGGACTGCGACACCTCGGATGAGGTGAACTGATTAAATCACGCGGGTCTGTCCGTTAGCTGTAAATACAAGTGTCGCTTGGTTTCGCCCTATTTATGAAATAATCAGTAAATATTCTACGTGTTAAGAGATCAGCTCGGTATCATTCCAAAATACGTTCGAAGGTCCGATTGTAATGAACACAAAAAAAAATTATGTCTATAATCTTTAAATTGTATGTTATTCAATGTTGTATGTTGAATAGAAAATATTAAAAGTTTTGAAAATTTATTCTAACGGTCTTTTCTTGAATAGTTGAGCGAGAAGTGGGTGTACAGTATTAGTGAAAATATATATGTGAACGTTGTCTATCTGTTTGTTTTATTGCATCGTGACCATTTCAAGAAATTAAAAAACCTTTTTTATTTTTTTCAATGTTTAATTCTGGAGACGTTTTCCTACAAATCCTTAAACAATACTTAGTATGTCTTCATTGCATCAATGAGCTGCAATAAAAAACAGAAATTATAATTGTATTTAATTCCATCCTAAGTAGGTAGTTACAAGTAAGGTTAGTTACAGTCTGGGCATGCTACCAGACTATTATATGATACATTATCGCTAGATAGATACTTTTTATGGAATAAGAGACGAAAGTGTTGGTGGGTTAACTAATGGTAAGCAATCAGCTGTGCCCATAGAAAGCTAGCTATCTAGGGTATGTTATGGGATCTACAGGGGGCCAATTGTCGATTTTCGCCATTTATCCCGAGTTAGACTATGTCTTTGTTTGGATCTACACCTTTAATTACACTTCTACTGCTTCGAGCTTAACAAAACAAAATTGTTCCATTGTTTGTTTCGACAATATCCCAGTATTTTGCCTGACCCAGGCATTCTTCCCGAAATAACTAGCCCTCTCGTATTGTCTCTTGCGATCTTTCGACCAATCAGGCACATGGGTATTCCACACAAGAACAGTGCTAGACCGACGCGAGCGACACGATCGCATTGAGCATCAAAAGGAAACGAAACGAGGTAGAAATCCAAAACTAAATGGTAATAGAACCGTCCCTTTTCTCGCTTCTCCATGTCCTTACCGTAAATGCACCTTCTTCTGCCCGAGGTCATCGAGCCAAGATGCTATAGCGCCCACAGTAGAGAATACAGCAGGCTGGTCTGTCTGGTCGCAGCGCTTCGATGAGAATGACAGTACGCCTATCAGCATACCATCCATGACTGCTGGACCACCTGCATCGTGCTAGAAGTGGTGGGAAATACGTAGAAATATTTATAAGAATCTTAACAGTAGGTACCTAACCTAACGGTGTGGGTAGGTAATCACTGCAAAGCTTATCACCTAAGTGCTATTCAAAGAGCGATCAATGACAATAAAAGGAACTTGGTCACAAAGTGTTCTCATGTGAGTGTGAATATTACGTAAAGTACTTACATTACAAACGTTTTTCGGTACAGTAATGAATCCTGCGCAGAAGTTCGTTCGGGTGACTAATTCTCTGCAAACAAATTATAACGATTAGGTAATGTTCTGTATGCAAATACCTATCTCTAAGCAACCATTATAACTAAGTTTTCAGAAGTTAGTTTCCGAAGCCAACCAAAGTCTGCATTAAGACTTACTTTCCATATACTTCTTGACAGTCTGCTAAGTCGTATACAGGGAGCGTGACCTTCTGGAGTAGAACCTGACCTCCAGCACCGTTGATGCCCTGAACCACAAATAAATTATTTTATAAGACAAAAATACTGGTGTTTGAGGTTGTTATCGAGATAGTACATGTCCGTCTGTTAGTCCTCTTATTGTGGAAAGTGAATTTATGTAGGTACCACAATATCGTTTTCAAGGTCAGGACCTTGTTTATGAGGATGACATCAAATGAGTCCTCTTGTTCTTGCCAGGACAGGAGTGAGTGGCTGAGGAGCCACCACCACCTACCGAAATACCTAAAACTGCTTAAGTATAAATGCACAAATGGATTTTGCCATTAAGTAGTTATTTTGCACTAGAATCGTCAGTTTTAACACTGATAAATGATGCCCTTGTACCGTTGCACTTCCTATGAATTTTGTGTACCTAGGTAGATATGGTTGTCCTCTGTTGGAGTTTATAGAAGTCAGAGTTTTTGAGCAAAAAATGGGCATAATGCAAACATACCAAAACAGATCCCCAACCAAGGAAAGTGACCTTATTATCCACAGGAACAACTTTGTCTCTTGCGAAGGGAATTTTCTCGATGTAAGGGTCACTTCTACCAAAAGTCAGGTTCTTATGGAGCTTCAGCACCGCGTAGTTGAACTCCAAGGTTTGTGGTTTGTAGTTAGGATGGAAGAAGATCTCGGAGACCCGCAGCACCTCACCACCGGCCGTGGCGTTCGAGGACCCAACTCTTACCGTCAACATTTTTACATATTCGCGGAAGAATCTATTGTTATATTGCCTGAAAAAAGGTGTTTTAAAGGATACTTCAATAATTGACTTGATAGAAATAACTGATCGCAATACCAAATACCTATTTGGATTATCTAATATCGCTTTTAACAATAGTTGTATGGAGCAACCTATTGTCGAGAACCAACATCAAAGCAATCGAGGTTTTGGACAATTAAGATTGAAAAAGATGATTGGGAGTTAGTGATACCTACCTATCAGATATTTAAAAGTTTCTTTAAAGGAACTTGCGTTACCGCGTTGTTATTTCAGTGTTGTACCTGTCTAAACAAGGCAAAGGAGTGACCCTGGTCTGTTAACAATCTTCCAGTGTCAGTCTTTTACTGACTAAGAACCCTCTCGTTCCTTCTTCTACTCCAGGCTGAGGTCGCGGTACCTTATTACGTCTGACCCGCAACTAGCTACCAATAACCATGTTGGGCCTCCTTTGTGGTGGCCTGTTGGCTCTTTGAGGCGCACGCGGCACGCTACAAGCTGCACACTCTGGTGGGGAGGGTAACAATCTACGCAATTGCTTGATTGGTCTGAATAATTATTTTCTACTTGATGACTTACAGTTGAAGGCAGTGTGCCGCAGTAAGGACCTTATCCGTATCAATAATGACAGCGCCACACCAGAGCTCGTTGTTCACAAGGAGGGCTGCCATGTAGGGGAACTCCTCGATGGTGGCCACCTCGTCAGGGTTGTAGATGCGACGGTAACGACGGTCTAACACCAGTTTTGGGGTCGTAGGCTGAGTCACTGGCGTTGTTGCTAAGGAAAAAGTGGAATAGTTTAACGCTGTTCTTTCTGTCTGGGACACAACGCATAAGGGTAGGTATAGGTATCTAAGTATCTATAATGATCTGATTTAATTTTCTATATGGATGCCTGAACTGTATGATGAAGATGGCCTGAACTGAAAAAAGAGATTGTTGTGTCCTAATTGAATTAAAACTGGGTAAATCTTTCCTTACTCTGCAACATGTGCGTACGCAGGAAAAATAGACAAGATAATGTATTTCCTGCTGAATTCCAAAGAGAAGGCGACATGCCTCGGCAGCCGAGGCTAATGTCAAGGATAATGACAGCCATATGTATGGCTGACATCCAAAATCCAAACCAATTGAGGCATGTCAGCCCTTATGTAGCTGACGGAATAACCTTTTTTTCAAGATGTTTTTTTGGCGTCAGCTACGTTTTTCTGACAAGACCTTGTAAATTATAAAATGAGTTATAGGTACATTTAGGGGAGTCCCAAACAAGCCAGTTAAACTTAAAATTAGTCGAGAAAATAATCAGGTTCTTTTACAATTAAAACTTGCAGGTAGATAATTAAGTAGGTACTTACTTCAATTTTGTATTTGAAAGAGAAAAGGGCAATCAGATAGCACGATTCATCTGGATTTAGGAATGTAGGCGATTGAGAGTACCCCTCTCGTTAGCCTGATTTAGGGACACTAACAGCCTAACCGCCATCATACTACCTAATCGATCGGATTTTAGGGAAAAAAAGTTTAATTAAATTTAAATTTAAGTGTGGGAGAGCCATGCTTCGGCACGAATGGGTCGGCTCGACCGGAGTGATACCACGGCCTCACAGAAAACCGTCGTGAAATAACCACTGCGTTGTGTTTCGCCGTGTGAGTGAGGTTACCGGAGGCCCAATCCTTTCCCTTCCCCAATCCCTAAATCTTCAAATCCCTAATCCCTAAAAGGTCGGCAAGGCACTCGTAACTCCTCCGTTGCGAGTGTCCATGGGCGGCGCTGATTGCTTACCATCAGGAAATCCGTCTGCTCGTTTGCCGAGCTACTACATAAAAAAAAGGGTACAACGAATCGTGTCATCTGATCGTTGCTAACCACCTTGTTATAAAAGTATATAGAGCCACCTTGTTATATAGAGAACATATAGTAAAAACAATAAAGCAATCCTTACTTAAATCAGCTGCAGTATTTTCGTTATCAATTCCGTTTTGGTTGGTGAGCTCGATTGGTATACCCTCATACTGCCAATCTTTTGGTTTTAAATTATCACGCTGATGTCGTCTCGTGTCTTAAATAAAATAAATGATTCGCATGTAAGTGGTAGGTAATCCGCATTGTGTACCTAGCTTCATCGATAAACGTAGGTACTGTAATAGACTGACCGACTCAAAGTGCCAATAGACCACTACAGATGGGGCTCTACTAGGGTTGATGTTGAGCCGGGGTTGCGGGGCAAGCGTAATTAGGCACCGCGGCCTCGCCCTAGATCAGGAGAAGGAACAGAGGGAGGGTTTAGTCAGTAAGTCTGACACTCCCTGTCGGAGCGGAAGAAGACATTTGATGTGTGGGAGAGCCATGCTTCGGCACGAATGGGTCGGCTCGACCGGAGTGATACCACGGCCTTACAGAAAACTGGCGTGAAATAATCACAGCGTTGTGTTTCGCCGTGTGAGTGAGGTTACCGGAGGCCCAATCCTTCCCCTCCCCAATCCCTCCTAAATCCCTAAATCTCCAAATCCCTAATCCCTAAAAGGTCGGCAACGCACTCGTAACTCCTCCGTTGCGAGTGTCCATGGGCGGCGCTGATTGCTTACCATCAGGTAATCCGTCTGCTCGTTTGCCGACCTATTAAATAATAAAAAAAAAAAAAAATGATTTTTAACCCTCACAAAAAAAGGCTATTATCAATTTTTTTGTCGATTCAAAGGTAACTTCCTGTTACATGTTTTAGTTGGAATATATGTTTTAGACTTCAAGGCAACGCTATCTTCTCATATGTTGAAGGAATGGTAGAAGGTAGGTAGATGATATCGTTCCCCCTTCTTTTTTGATGGGGATAATCATCATAATTAGGTATTTCTTCTGCCCAGGGTGGGTCGAGAGAGAATGGCAGCCTCTTACTGACTAAAAATCACAAGGTGCAAGTGCTTCTTCAGCTTCGGACTGGAGGGGCCGCACTGCGTAAATTAAAGCGTTTGCCTGATGATTTTTGTAACTTCATTGGTAGTCCAGGTTTCACCACGAAGCACTTACAAGTCCTCCACCATAAAAGAAAATTTCACCTATTTATAAACTTACCTATATCTAAGAAAAAATCGCGCATGTGACTATACTTGGTAGGTAAATAATTGAAATCCTCTGAGGGCTCTTGTGCAAAAGTCATTTCATAAAACAAGTATATTATAAAAATAACACTAACAATTCTTAAGGAGAGTAATTTGTAACACTGTAATTAACACACAGTAAGTAATGAATATGAGATGGACAACGCATGAATGAAAACACCAAGATTCCGCGTGTCGCAAGTCCGGTGCAAGCAGAAAGTGCAATATTTATTAAATAACGTCTAGAAAAGATATTATTTTAATTGTAATTCCATTCATGCGTCGCAAACTTGAACAAATAATGAAAATATTTTGTAGAAAAACAAATGTTCCTTGTATTTCAGTACAGAGGGCGTCCATGATGCGTAAGGGCATCCCATCCTAATATTCTTCCAGTAAGAATGTAAAATGAAAGGACTCGATGTGTTCTAGTTCACAAAACGTACTTATCACAAATAACTTGTTCAATTGTATGTTAGCTTTATATTCCGATTGACCAATCACAGACGACCGCGATACTTATGGTGTTTCATAACGACCAATCCTAACACACATTTTATTGCTTGTTTTTCTTACCTTCTGTAGATATTTGGGACGACACAGAGGAGTCAATATGTGACGTCACATACGTTACTGAGTGCAGTACAAAGAATAATAATGTCACTGTTCTATGGCAGTGCCCTCCTTCCATCTTTGTGAGGTTCTGCAAATAAAAGGTGATTTATTGATTAGGTACCTAGGCTGATTATTAGGTATGTCTAGAATTCTAGATGTTCTATTTTCTACTTCTAAAGGAAATAAATAAAGTACAAACGATAAGGATGTTTAGCAACTTGGCTCGTATTTTGCTTCAAGCAGTTAATTGAATTCACGCATCCTGTTTCCTTCGGACGCAGCGGTTTCTGTTTTAATTTTAGTGCATTTTTATACACGCATGTTTACAGAAATCGAGTAGCTACCTAGTTTTTTGCCAGTGATGCAGGTTTAATTAGGGAACTTTAATTAGGTTACAAAACGTACCTAATGTGCTGACACGGCAACGTTTCAATACAAATATCCGATTCCAATTTCTCAGAACAATTTTATTTTATGTTAGTTTCCTTATGCAATAAATTCAAACGAAATAAAGGAGCTTATAGAAATATTTTATTACATTATTTACACGATAACTATAAACAGAATACTATATACAATACGAATAAGATGTTTTAGCTTTAGGTACACGTGACTGTAATAGTACGAGGGTTTATTTTTAAGAAAACATGTTCGTGTCTATTGCTTAATGCCATCCTTTGCCCCAGCCAGAGCCCCAGCCATAGCCGGTCCACCCGCCGAGGGACGAGCCCCAGCCGAGCCCGCTCCAGCCCACACTGACGGGAGCAGCGATGACAGGAGTGCGGATGATGGGAGCGGTGACAATAGGGGTGGACACCACGTGACGGACGACCGGAGCGGACACCACGGGGATCGTCACGCCGTGGTTGATGAGGCTGGAGCTTACAGAGTACGATGGCAGCAAGACGGGAGAGGCTGAGGGACAAACACAAGAACCTCTCTAAACCAAGTACATGAGACATTTTCACGGGAACAGCGCAGAATCGTCATTGTAAGTTAGGTAGAAATTCTGTTTCTTACAGTTTTTACTTTAACGTTAACTAAGATTGCAGCTGATAATATCAACGGTGATGTAACATCTTATCGTGCGCGTTAAAGCGAGTGGATTTAACCAAAGTCCATAGATAACAAGGCAAGTACCTACCTAACAAGATAGTGTATAGAGTATTGAGTTTTCTATAGATATGAGAATGTACGATGAAACTGAAAGGCTAGAAGATGGTGTTTCAGACAGGGTTATGGTGGTCGTAATTACAAATGTGAATTTGAACTTGACGTGTTAAAGACAGAAACTTGTGTTTGAGAATGTAGTCTCTTAGCGACTTTTACATTCCAATTATCAAATGTATTTATATGATTAGAGATATTTATTTATGTCGTAGTATACCTCTTAGGTACCTCTTACTTAGAGGAGAATTAAAGTCAAGTAGTGGATTATCAGAAGGCTTTTGTTGATGCTCATAATGAATATGATGGAAATTAGATGCATGAAAGGCAAAAAACAAGTTGTGAAGTTGATCTGAAGAGTAAGCTAAGTCTCTGCACTTTTGTGAGTAACAATGAAGGCAAGCAAATGAACTTTTGCTTACCTTAGCGGAATTTTCTATGCATGGACTTGGATTTAGTGTTCAAATAGTGTCTATAATGAAATGAGGAGTTACCGAGGCCCAGTCCCAGTGGTGGGACAGGGTTGGCGACCACCATGCCGATCAGGGCCAGTACTAATGCCACCTGCAAAAGAAAGGAGTTTATTAGAAGTCGTTTCCATAATCCTATGGTCTATCGATTTAGATGGTTAGCTAAAGGTAAACAATCTTTATATTAAAGATGTCGTATAAAATACTATAAGTACAAAGAATCTTTTGATTTAGTTTGTAAGCCAACATCGATTTAAGTAAATACCTGATTGTAAACATTTTGCACACAATTTTAGGCAATTTTTAGATAAGACGACATGCTAAGATTGTTTACATTTAGTTAATTTCCTAAAGCGATAGGTCATAGTTTGATATAGTGCAAATCACGGTACTTAATAGACGGAGTTAAAGAAGTAATCTAGAAAAAGAGCTGAAACGATGACGAAATATACTAGTATTCGTTTTCGATGGTTTGGGGTAGACGTTATCAATAAACAGAGTCGAGAGAAAACTAGAAACTCAGACATATTAATGGGTGTAGAAATAAACAAATACAAAATGATTTATTAACTTTCTAAGGTGGACAGAATAGATAACATTTACTTAGTTAATGAACCTCTTCCAACCAAAACAGAAATAGAAAATGACTTAGACGAATTAACGGAAAAACTAAAACCGTAAACATTTTCAAAATTGTAACAAAAACTTACCGCGCACTTCATGTTAGTCTATTTACAGGTTTGAACTGAAACGTAAACTGAATTACATTTGATTAGCATTGGCCTTATATATGAAGTGTGGTTGGACACGCATCACTGAGCCCTTGTATCCTGTCGGGAAACTTTGCATCATTCGCTGCATAATGCATTGTTGGTCCTTTCGACAGGCCAGTTTTACTTTTGAAAGCATTTATGACTCAAGTGGTGTGTGTTGAGACACTAGTTTATAATTTGGCTGCCCTGCTGGCTCAGCGTAAATCTACAAAGAGAAAATCCAGTGACGAAATCTTTGGACGAAGAGTTTGGTAGCAACTGGTGCTTGTAGAAGCATATCAGAGGCGCAAATCATGTAGTTAACTGAATTACGACAATGACAATACCTAATTGATAAAAAGTCTTAAGTGTGTGAGAGCTATCCTTTAGCACAAATAGGCCGACAACCGGAGTGATAGGACGGCCTCATCGATAAACGATGTGAAAGAACGTTTTCTTGTTTTTTGGCCATGTGAGTGATGTCACGGGAGGTCCCACTATCACCGCTCCATTCCCAGTTCTCCAACCAGTTATGTGCATATTTATCTCAGAAAAAAAAACAAAAGGGTATGTGTTGATGCGTCTAGCAACGCGCCTGTGATTCCTCTGGTGATACATGCGTCCATGGGCGGCGCTGATCAGTTATTATAGAAATATAGACCATAAAACGTTTGCGCTTATGGTTCGTATAGTTTTTATATTTAGGTATTATTATTATTTGTAATGGACACTATTTTTGTAAGTGTTAGTGAAAATTTTGACAAATTATAGTAATTATTGAATGGATGAGGCATTTCGAAATCGGGAAGTTTTCTGTGAAGATCAATGGATTGGGAATTTAATACTTTCATTTACTTACGCATTAATTTATGTTCTCTTAATTCTATAATAATAATACCTATTATTATAGAATACCTATTATTATTAGGACTATTGTGGCCAATAAGCCTGATATTGTGGTGGTGGACCGAAACGAGAGGCGTGCAATGATTGTTGACATAGCCGTCCCACATGACGAGAACCTCGTGAAAGCTGAGAAAGATAAACTAATCAAGTATATTGACTTGGCACGCGAGGTTGTCGACATGTGGGATGTGGATTCGGCAGTCATTGTACCGATAGTCGTGTCAGCCAATGGCTTAATAGCCAAGAGCCTCGACCAACATCTTAGGAGGCTCTCGTTAGGTGGCTGGATTAAGGGCTTGATTCAGAAAGTGGTACTCCTGGACACGGCTCGTATTGTCAGGAGGTTCCTTTCTCTGGAGCCCTGACCGCCGGTAGCTAGGACCCTTTTCCCGATACCGGTGGGACACTATTTTTTATATTTTTAAATGTTTTTTTTTCTTTTCAATTTTTAAGAAATATTTAAAAATGTAAATTATATGTTTATATGTTGAATAAAGAAAATACCTATTAATAATGCTCGTGGCCATCGATTGAAAATGTTTCAATGAACAGAATATTCTAAGTATCATGAAAAAAGCTATATATCCTTTTTCGAAATCTCATAAAATACCGCTTTCTAGGAATCTACTCTGGGATAGTGAATTGTGACGTCATGTCTTGAAGCGAGCAAAAAATGAGACATTTAAATTGTGTGAATTTAAGAGTTCAAATAATTACCTAACCATGTGTGACCACATAGAATATTACATTGTCAAGCTTGAAGTCCCGTATTCATTCAGAGTTTAGATAAATCTACCGACTTACAGGTAGCATATCGTCATCTAGTTACAAAACTTATTTTATTTTCTTCTGGTTTTTTAATGAAATTATTAATTATTTGATACCTATCTACTCATAGCGTGATTGGCGTATTGATCGACTGCTGCACAATATATAACAAGTCGGATTTACAAATCTTTGTGTCATACACACATCGTTATGGGCACGGAGTAAGAACTTTGTTCTTACTCCGTGGTTATGGGTCTGGGTGTAATGTAATGTGTACTTATGTGAAATATATTCGAGAGACACGCTACTGAGCTCGATGTTCAGCTCTTCTCATCCAACGACTGCCAGCCACCCTGCGGATGTCATCAGTCCACCTAGCTGGAGGGCCCCCTACACTACGTTTGCCTAGACGTGGTCTCCACTCTAGAACACGTCTACTCCAACAGTCAGTTCTTCACAGACCACTTCAGCATATTTGACTGCACGGTTGTTGCGGTGGCTGGGCAACTGGCTGCCGCGCAACGTGTCGCGGGTTCGATTCCCGCACCGAACATCTCTTTGTGTGATCCACAAATTGTTGTTCCGGGTCTGGGTGTCATGTGTATGTGAAATTGTATGTTTGTAAACGCACCCACGACACAGGAGAAAATCCCAGCGTGGGGCATGGTTTTTTTTTTTTAAATCATTTTTTCTGCGTTTTTAGTGTGAGAGAGCCAGGCTTCGGCACAAATGGGCTCGCACGACCTGAGTGATACGGCATCTAGAAAAATTGTCGTCCATATCTGGCATTGCGGGTGACTAGGGGCGGCGCCAATTTATTACGATCAGGATAATCTTTAAGTACATCGTTGACCGCCATCGTCGATTTTTTTATGGTACACATAAAATAAAAATAAAAATATATAACGCTACTTAGACTCTCTCCCCACCTATGGCGGGAGAATTCATTTCATAAATATCGTTACTCTTACTCAATAATATAAAGAAAGGGCATTATCCGTTGTTCAATATATTAACTATACTAACAAAAACGGTACAATTGGAATATTAATGAAGCGTTTATTGCATGGTAATAAGTTTGTTTTTGCCGTGCGCCGTGATAATGACAGGAACTAATATATTATCGTACAATTGCAATATTGGATTACGTTAATCACAACGAACCGACATTGACTGAGTAATTGAACATTTTATTTAAATACATAACTGTGCATCGTGTCGCGGGTTCGATTCCCGCACGGAACAACCTTTTGTGTCATCTACAAATTATTATTCCAGGTTAGGTGTGATATCTATGTGAAACTAGCTTCCGCCCGCGTAGTATGTTGGCAAGAAGTACTTAGCCCATGTCCTATTCCGGAGTGTATCCTATGCCTGTGCCAAAATTTCATCCAAATCCATCCAGCTGTTTTGGCGTGATTGAATAAGAAACATCCAAACATCGTAACTTTCGCATTTATAATACATACATATATCGCATTTATAATACATAATGTATACCTAGTAACACGGGTAATAAGGCGGAAAATAATTATCTAAATACATTGGTAGGCTTGACATTTCGACCTGGTTGCACAGGTCGTGGTCGCAAGCAGACCAGTCTGCATAACATTAGTAAGATTGTATGTTTGTAAATCACCCACGACACAGGAGAATATCCTAGTGGGGACGTTAGTTTTTTTAAGAAAAAAGAGATGTGCCTATGTGCCTACATATTTTTTTATACGTCTATGTACTTACATAATGGCCTATCTAACCAGCATAATAAGCCATTCAGTTAACGGCATCATAAATAGCATCGAATTACATTATTTTACATTAGACTTTAATCCTTCTATGTTCTATTTTTTGCCTGTATGTATTTAACAGCCAGAAAAGTTTGAAAGGGCCTAAAATTAAAATGTTGAGAATACATAAGTCAGAAATAAAACGAGTAGGTATTAAAAAAGGGAACTGTTTAATAATTAAATAAATCAGCATAATAACATCTTAATAAAATCAAAAAAAGTAATCTAGTAAATAGACCACAACGTCTGGCCTATTACGGCACGCAAACAAAATAATGCGAAGCTAATAGCGACCAATCATACAACATACACATTCAGTAACAAATATAAAACAAGTTCTTATTGGTTAGAATTTCCCTCGATCAAAGATAATAGGAAAAACAACATATGTATACCACGGAAGAATGTTGATGTTTCGTATTTTTTCCAAAAAATATATTTATCTTGTTTTCGTAAAGAAAAGGTTGTCAATGTATTTCTTCTTGCCAATGACAGCTGCAGTGCGCATGAGTGCAAGTTACATGAGAGTGGAGGTATTAGTTTCGCGTCATTTATTCCATTAACACGTCTGTATCCTAAGCTGTAGCTTCATAAAGTTGACGATACTCATAAATGTTACTGAAAAGAAAAAAATACGTTAATCATTATATTTCGAATTCACCATCATTATAATCACCAGCCTGGTCATTGCTGGACATAGGCCTCCCCAATTGCACGCCACTGAGATCAATGTTCAGCTCATCCAACCTATTTCAGATTGTGATAGAAAAAGCCTAACGGTATATTTTGTGCCTTAAAAGAAAATTTGTTATTACAAATTCTCAAAGCTCTCTAAGCCATTTTCATACTTAAAATACCTAGTACAAATTTTCGAAGCTCTCTAAGCAAATTTGATACTTAAAATACCTATTAGTAAGTATCAAAATTGCTTCAAGTCTCTAAAATTTTGCGTCACATCAGCCAAAAGAAGTTCACTGCTAAACCTGACCTCCTTCAACTTTAGAAGGTCGGTTGAAAGCGTCTGTCGTCCGCAACATTACATTTAGCAGTTGATACAACACGGTTGTCACGGTACGGTAATTTCGTATCGTAACTTACATTTTCAGCATTTATGGTAGAATATTATAGAGTTTATGTTTAAAAAAACTCTTTTCAGTTTGTCTTACGTTCATTGAATGTAGCGTTAAATTCATTAAAAAGACTTCAAAATTAATCACAAATTTTAAGAGGTAGTCATTTGTCATTTTCACTTAATACAAAAACTTCTGTGAGTCTAATTTATATATATGGTTTTCAATTACCTTCCACCGGTCATTGTCGTAGTCCCACTTGGATGAGATGCCGTCGATGGGGTTCACGCGAAGTTCCAGCATCCGCCGCAGCTGCACCTTTTGTGCACTTTTCGACACACTCGGCGGAAGGGGTTCATACACTGCCGACAAAACATCATTGACATTACTGTCACCAGTATCGGCCTAGCCAGATAGCGAGTCTATCTCCCAAATGGACATTAGAGTTCTCAAATCGAGTCGGAACAGAAACTTTTAATTGTTTAAGCAGATGGCCTGCTAAGCTATTCTCAAAAGTTAATTTGCAAAATCACTTCTGAATCCGCGTGAAATCATGTTTATTTAAAGTTTCGTGTGAATAACGAAGTGAAAGTAACTAAAACAAGCGAGTATTTTGACTTTTGTGTACAGGCGAGATGAGAAGCGAAGTGGTGTGTGACTTTCGAGATGAGATTCGAGGCGATTTACCATTTGCAGAATAGCACTGCAGGTTTATTACATCGTCTATAAGTTAATAACAATATGTAGGCACATAGGTTTTGTTTGTTAAGCAGTAAATGATCAAATGATTAAAATATATACCGTAACGATGGAGGAAAATAAAAAACCAGAAGGCGAAAGATGTTATGAAGAAGGACACTCCAAGGACAACTTTCCACTGTCCCGTCGGGTGCTTAAACTCGGAAAAAGTTTGACAGAACGACGCTCGGTACAACGCTTTCTTCTCTTCACAGCATAGCATGCGCCAGTCACCTTTCTCTTTTTCTCGCAGCGCCTAGAAGTAGAAGACCACAGGATTGAATTTGTATAAGTTGGGAAAGATAAGACGGCATTAATTAGGTGGAAAATTGTGATTGCTGTCAATAGCGCGGCTTATGCTTTTTGTTAAATAATATTGAAACTTTAGATATAGACATATGCGCGCTGCAAAGCAAATTAAAAGTAGTTTTTTGTCACGGGACAGACCGGGCACCTTGTATACGGATCACCTGATGATAAGCAATCGGCGCCGTCCTTAGACAAAGAAGTTATAAGTGCGTTGTCTGCTTTTTGAGGGTAGTTGAGGATTGGGGTTTTGAAACGGCTTCCAGATTGTTTTAATCTTTGTAATAATGATCATGTACCATGAAGGCACATTGAAAAATGTCATCATGTGGCCTCACACAATACGCAAGCGTCATTTCATGCCGTGTGAGTGGGGTTCCCGGAGGCCCAATTCTTCTGGACTCCCACGTCTAATGCCCCAATCCTCGAATTCTTGACAACTCACTAAAGGCCGTGGGTATTGTAGGTGACCACCTCATTGTAGGCCAATCGGTAGCTAGTTCCAGCTCATAAAGAGAGAGAAAGCCTCATTTAAAATACTGACTTTGACATTTGAGGCAGATATCAGGAAGGCTAGCAGTTTCAATATTATCACAACCACAATATAGCCGTAAGAATGCTGAATATAGACCTTCCCAATAACTACCAGAACAGCAGCTTGGAACAACTCTTAAGCTATTATATAAACAGCAACCACGATGAGCTTTGTCATGACGTTATTCTGCATTTAGATAGCATCACAAAGAAAGTAATAATAGCAAATTTTAAATACATTACACAAATATCTCTGGTGTTTTCCTTAAACCTCACAGCAGGGAAGGGGAAATGAGCGTCGTCTTTGTAATTCGCGCCACCGTTCACCCCAAACCCAACCCAGTCGCGGTTCCCGATCCTACATCTATGGTGAATTTCCCTGACTCTAACAGCTAACGATGAATAAACTCCAGAAGATTTCAGAGTTAGTAAATACATTTTCGTTCCTGATCGGAACGGAATTGACAAATGACAGTTGATTTTTCAAATTCAATCGGTAATGGCTGTTGTCAATTTGTGTCTGTTCAAAAGAGGTTGTAGCTAGTTTTGGAAACTATATAGGATTTTATCGAAATTGTTTCTTTGGTTTATTGGTCTGTCGTGGTTCCTATTTGCACTAGGAACAATTCTTTGTGTAATTTACAATTTATTGTTCTGGTTTTTGTGTGAAAAAGTAAGTTTTGTAAGTGAGATTGTATTTCTTAATATCACATACTACATTGAGCATAAAATTAAATTTATTTTGGTATTCGACATCACGCCACATACCTCCTCATAAAACCACCATGCATGAGTTATACTAGTTTTCACTACTTATAGCAGAATTGCGTAAATACACGGATATTCCAACTGTTTCACGTGAAACTTTCTGAATACTTTGGTATGATCATTCCGGCAGCGGTATTTCCGAACCGATACGAATTTCAAACCTTCAAGAAACAAGCGTACTTCTTCTTAAACCTCGTACGCACCTGTGACTCCTCTGGTGCTGCAGGTGTCCATGGGCGGTGCCGATCACTTACCATCAGGTTATCCGTCTGCTCGTCTGCTTCCTATTCCACAATAAAAAAAGATTTCACAAGGTCTTTATTATAAATTACACCTAATGAAACAATAAGAACACACGATTCTGTACTCCATTCACGGTATGTCCGTGTCATATGGAAGATAGATGTACCCGGTATGGACTTATAACATCACGGATGAAAATAATTTGAGTGTACGCTAGTGTCTTATAAAATGATGGTTAGTCAAAATTGAATGTTTACTTTTAAAAGCAATGCCGAAGCAGGGTTTCGGCTCCCGTTCCCTGACTTAAAGTTATTTTCATTTTCCGTTACTTCGTCAGAATATTAGTGTTACACTGTTCTCACATAATGGAACAAACCTAATAACAAACAATCTGTCTGTTGTCTGTAAATGTGTCCAGCCCACTCACTCCACGTAGAATTATCTCACTGGTGAAGAGTTGAAGCGCCCCTGTCTGTGGTTATCGGCTATATTACTGCATCGGCTATTTTCATGTGCCAGAACGATTCGAAATCTTCTTAAATCTATTTTGAGAGTCTAGAACCTTTTCTAGAAGGTAGTGGATAAAAAAAAACTACCTTGCCATTCTCGCAATATTAAGTTTATTATTTCATTACTTAAAGAATAGGCATTTGAAGGTTATACACCTTGAGTAACTGAAGATCTAAAACAATATTTCATTTTAAAGCAGTCTAGTCAGTGCCTGGAAAGTAACTTGTAAATGTCGTCGGATGCGGCTAACATTTTGAAAAGATTTTCAGTGCGTACACGTATTCCTTTTTTTTTGTTATTCTTCTGTCTTCTATTATTTTTCTTCGTATTTTTTTTTAATATTTCTTCTGCTTCTCTGCTTGCATTATCTGAATCATCTTCATTACTTTTTTCTTGTGATTTATTTTTTATGTTAATTTTTTTTATCTTTTTCGTTTCTATGTCTGTAGAATCATTGCTATCAGTCTCAACGTCATCGCCGTTTCGGTTTTCATCATCGTATTCGTTTTCATTATAGTTTTCTTGTTCTATTCCTGACTCCTTCTCACTTACGGAGTTAACTTCTTTATATTGAGTTTCGGAGTCACTGAATTCTAATTTATTTTTTGCCTGTTTTGCAGTTTCTTTAGCGACTGGCTTTTTATTTTTGTTATTGTCCGAATTGTTATCTCCTTCATTGGCTCTATTATCATTGTAATACGTTGCTGTCGTTTTCCTTTTCATTACCTCATAATGATTATCAATTATCTGTTTCTTTTTCCTAAGCACAGCATCTTTAGTAGAAATAACATATTCCTTTTTCTTATTAATATTTTTATTTTTTTTAGTAATATCTTCATCGTCTACGTCTTTCTTAGACATTTGTTTTTTCATTTTCTTTACATGAGTGGTTTCATTCCCTTTACTTTTATACTGTACTCTATGTTTCCTGTTCTTTAAAATATTTATTTTCGGTAGGCCTTTTTTGTTAACTTGATATTCCTTATTTTTAATAGCACTGACTAAATTTTTCAAATATTTGAAGATAGCTTGACTGTTTCTTTTCTTATTTTCATCATCCGCGTATTTAGCAGTGGGCTTGTCCAGTGTATCTTTCCTATGGGTCTTTTTGTGTTTATCTGTTCTGTAGGTAAGATTTCCCTCTTTTCTTGTAATACCAATTTTCTGATTCCTTTTCTTTTTTTTGTCGGTCATATACATATTATTTACATTTTCGTTGTTAACATTAATATGTTTTGCTTTTTCAATCGTAACATCTTCTCCATCACCGTATTTATCATCGTGAATTGGAATTTTATTTACATTATTATGATTAAAATTTGTATTGACAAATGAAATGGTTAGCTCTGTATCGCTGTGATTTTCATTCTCGCTTTCTTCATCGTTTTCATAGCTTGTATCGTAGTATTCTGTCTCACTTTGATCTTTACTATCTACGCCGAAATAATTTACTCTTTTTTTCGTCATGTCCAAATAAGAATTTGCATCAACCAACTTGGTGGTTTTTCCTTTATCTTTTGTGTGTGTGTCATTATTTTCTAATAAAATTTCATCAAATCCCAAAATTTCATTTATATCAATATCGTCTACCAGAGTCTCAATAATTTTTTCTATTGTTTGTTGGTTATCAGATTCTACTTTATCGCCACTATTAACATCAATATTTTCACTACCTTTATCACTATAATCGCCGTCACTACTGTCGTCTTCAGCCGTGTCAGATTGCGAGTAATGTGGTGCAGAAAATTTTTTAGAAGTAAGTATTTCATATGGACTATCTAACTTTCCGTCACTTGTTTTGTCAATTTTGTCCGCGATGTGTGTAGTACTTACTATGGTAGGACTCAGATTTAATTGCATTTTTACTTCCCTAGTATTGGCAGTACTCGATACGTGTACAAGTTTCTTCTTTTTGGTTTTCTTTTTAATATTTATTTCTGACGTTTTAGTATCCTCAATCTCTAATTGTTGATCATTACTTGAAGGATCAGTTAATTCGTCGCTATCAAATATTGTGGCAAGAAATCCTTGGAATTTTTCTCGTCCCGTTCTAGTTGAATTACTCTCTTCGTCAGTCACTTTAACTTCCTCTGATTCGTCGGAATATTGATTTATTGGCTTTATGTAATGATTCTTAGACATATGCTCCTGGGTAAAAGGTAATTTTATTGTTGGCAATCTCTTGACTGGTAAGCGTGTGGTTCTGGCCTTTCCAGAAGGTACATCCTGAAATAATAAACTTTGGATGTTTATTAATGTTCTTGAACAATGTTCATATTTACAGTAACCTTAAATATGTTAATTTTTTTTTTTATGTAATAGCTCGGCAAACGAGCAGACGGATTACCTGATGGTAAGCAATCAGCGCCGCCCATGGACACTCGCAACGGAGGAGTTACGAGTGCGTTGCCGACCTTTTAGGGATTAGGGATTTGGGATTTGGAGACGTAGGGATTGAGGAGGGATTGGGGAAGGGGAAGGATTGGGCCTCCGGTAACCTCACTCACACGGCGAAACACAACGCAGTGGTTATTTCACGCCGGTTTTCTGTGAGGCCGTGGAAAATCATAGGATTTCATTCTTATCAACGAATGCTATATGTACGCATTTTTGATGCTCATATTACCTACGAAGATAAATAAAGATTTTTAGATACAGGTACCTGTTCCATGATTCGTTCGATCCAGTCGTTGTAGAAGCCAACTTTGGTGAATACAGTGGGAGCATCAGGAGCTCCGCAGGTCGGAGATCCGAAGCTCACAACTCCTACAAGGATGCCACCTGCAATACCTGGACCACCTGCATCACGCTGGCGATATAAAAGCTTATATTAATTGATTGCAGACTCAAATAAGGTGAAATAAGTAAGAAATTCTCAGTTAAAAATGGTGTCTAGTAATGATTAATAATCTTACATTTGCTTTGTAGCTGCTAGTGGAAGTGGAAGTATGTGAGAAGGTTAAAATCGAGTTCAGTGATACAAAGGATGATAACAATAATGAAATAATATCAAATACCGACGTACATTACACGCGCCGCCCCCCTTGGAGATGAATCCAGCGCAAAAGTTTTGGCTTGTTACGAATTGCCTGAAACATCAATACAGTTTTTTCAACAATAGACGTATCTTTGTACACACATATATAATATTTGTATTTTGTTAATTAGGCAAAGGGACTACACATCTAAGCGAGACCAGGCAGTAACGTTCTCTTATAAAACTGAATATTTTAACTGGGAGCTTCTCCTGCCTGACAAGCTTAGAGATTATACCAGAACCTATACAGAAAAAGCTGGTAATTGGTCGTTGATGTGTTACATCATACCTGGAATATATTTCCTGACAATCTTTAAGTGGATAAAAGTCTAGAACAGCGTACGTCAGTTTATTCTTTATAGGATTTTCAACGTAGGTGTTGAGCTGAAATAAAATCACTGGTTAATAAATGCTGTAACTAACAAATACATTTATATCAGATCTGACTCAATTGAAAATAAAGTCAAACAATTGTGCTTATCTAACGAGCTACTCTGCCTATAAACTAATAGTTTTTCCAGCCAGTCTGGCTTGATGAAATTTGTCAACCCTTGTAGAATCCTTAACTATTGGTTTTAAAAGAGATGAACTACGAACAGTAACGAGAAGTGATACGCAGTCACAAAACGTGAATATAAAACAATTAAAGCTTGAGATCCTTGATTTGAACTACTAGTGGTGCCAACTGCTGTGGACATAAGGGTTAATGCTCATAACAGACACGTTAACATCTAGCATACTTAATACTTAGAAAATTAGGAGGGTCAAAAAGTCTTACTCCTCTAGCTCCCCAGCCAACAATAGTGATCCCGTCAGTATTTGAAGGCAATGGCGATGCATGTTTATCTATTTCTATTTTCTTTACTTTCTTGATGTGTTTCCCAAAGGCCAGAGTCCTTACCATCCGCAAAAGCGCAAGATTATGACCTAAAGTATTAGGATTGTAATTTGGATGGAAATGTATTTCCAATACAGGAATGTTCTCTCCTCCAAATTCAGAAAAAGTGCTTCCTACTTGCAGCGATAGGAAGGCTGGATTCTCGTTGAAGAAGCGGTTGTTCCAGGCTCTGATGACAAAAACAGACATAACTATGAGTCTGTATATAGACTTAGGAATAACACCTACAAATTATTGAGGAACAGCAGTTATAACAAAAGTATGAATGCAAATAAGCCTTACAATTGAAGACATGAAGCCGAAGTGATGACTATATCAGATTTGATGATGGAGCTGGCACATTGAAACTTTTTAAAAAAGTGTACACTGGCCATGAATGGAAACCGTTGAATCTTTACGGTATGTCCTCCAAAGATGCGCCGTCCACTCTGCGATTCATTAAGCTGCAGCGGATCTGAATATTAACAAAAAATATTAAATACCATACCACATTGTTCGCATATCGATACATACTAATCGGTAGCTATAGGAATTTCGCGGTAAAGTTTTAAAAATAATTATACATATGTATAGTACTCACCCCAAAGTTCTGCGCTTGTAGTATTGTCTTTAGCTTTTTGAGTTTTATTTTCTTGTCGCAAGTAAGTCGTATAGTCCATTTCCTTAACATTTTCATTATTTTCGAAATATTTTATAATAGCTTTATTAATGTCAAAGAAGTTTGTCTTGTTCTTAAGACCATGAGTTTCCTTTAGTTGGTCAAGTTTTGTTAGAAACTCACCAATAAGTGAAGTAATATAAACAGCGTCAGTTTCTTCATCATTTTTATTGTTTTCATCTAATACTTCGTTTAATTGTGTAATAAAAACTCGAGTGCCGTTATCGAAGTTATCAACTTTGGTCAGTCTTGCTATTTCCTTCAGATTGTCGTGATCTTGTAGAGTAATGGAAGCAAAGAAGTTGTGAATCGTCGTGTATTGTTTTAACTTCAGCTTTTGGTGCACATCTTTGTTTTTTAGAGTGGAAAATAAATTGTTCAGAGTGTTTCGTATTACCCACTCGGTAGTAGCGAGGTCGTCCTGATCTGCAGCCGGAGGATCAACGGCACATCGGACGTTAACGGCACTGTCCAACAATGTGACACACAAGACGATACTCACCGCGGAAAACATGTGAAGGAAGATGTTTTCTGCGACATAAAATCTAGCTTAAGAATAATATAAGTATTAAAAAACCAATGTATCAAATGTGTTTGTTATTAAAGTAGTTGCTCAATGTAATAAACTTTTTTATTATTTCTATTCACTTTATGCATTTTGAAATATATTATTTTATCTGCGTCGTAAAGTGTGTCGACATCGCCTAAATTTAATTTGATTTAGACACATTTCGTAATACCTTTTCTCCTTTTTTTTGTGAGAGGAAAATCATCATGTGGCCTCTCAGAGGGAGTGTCAGACTTTCACTGACTAAAAACCCACCCGTTCCTTCTCCTGTTCTATGCCGAGTTCGCGGTGCCTCATTGCCCCGCAACCCCGGCTAACCGCAATCCCGGGAGGTTTTAATTTTGGCTGTATTAATAATAATAATTGTTATTCGGCGTATTTTTTTTTATGAAACTTAGTTTCATATTATTGTCTGCAAACGGACAGACAGATTACCTGATAGTAAGCAATCGGCGCTGCCCATGGACACTCGTGTCATCGAGGAGTTACGAGTGCGTTGCCGGCCTTTTGGGGTCAAGAATTCCGGACTTTTTGGGATTGGGGAAAGAACGAGGAAAGGGAAGGATTGAACAATTTTTTTTTTATCGCATATTAAGCTATTAGACTGTTATTTTCTTCAAAATTTTGAGATGTAGAATGACTTAAAGTTTAAGATTAAAAACCGTTCAACTTGTTACTTCACGGTTGGCGTAGTAGCCGGCCAAAATGGCTGCCGCGCAACGTGTCCCACATAGAAAAAGCCTTTGTGTGATCCACAAATTGTTGTTCCGGGGCTGGGTTTGGTGTGTGTGAAATTGTATGTTTGTGAACGCTCCAACGACACATTGGAAAGGCTGAAGGTGGAGCAACGCTTTAAAAATATATATGTATCATCAGGTGTTTTTGTTTCTTTTATCAACTTCATCAGAAAATTGTTAAAGATTTTTATATTGGGGTGTTTTAATAATATTTAAAAAAATGAAACAAACGCTTGATTCAAACTTTTTATTGTATAAACCTAAGTCAATCCATACTAGTACTTATTTAAGTTATTTAAATCTTATATAATGAAATTGACGGTAATTATTATGTTCCTGATTCGTATAGTGATAGCTAAACATCATCATAGGAAACTTCTTCAGTCTATTGTCAGCGGGTTCCTTTACATCTTCAGCTGAGCTCCAAAAGACCCTCGTTCTTTTATCAACATAAAATTGAACAATCGCGAAGGCATGACCTTTTCAGCCATAATGTTCGAGAATAAAATTCTTGTTAACAATGCATCCTGATGGCGATCTAAAATACCGTGTAGAAAGAATCCATGTTTTTGAGGCAACACGAAATTTATACGAAACTGGAAGTGATAAAAAATAAATGGTAATAAAATTTTATTATGAAAATTGTGAAACAGTTTTGGAATTCAATTTTTGTGTTTCACAATTTTGCCACAATCAAATTAATGTTACGAAACTTCTAGAAATGGATAAAATTTATAGAGAATTTATGAAATATATAGCAAGCAATCTGTGTACAAAATTGCATTATATTTTGGTTATCGCTATTTTTACTTTATAATAATCTGACTCTCCCTCCCGCTTCAATCTGGGCGGGAGAAATCATTTGATGATTTTCCCCTCACAAATAACCTCTTGCTTTTTTGGGCAACAAACATTCTCAGAGGTCGCAAGGGTTGAAGGAAGCTCCTTGATTCAGGTCCCATTTCAGCTTGTGTTTAGTAGTATATGTCTTGTCGTTATATCTACAAATACGTTACAAACGTTAAGAACAGACATCAGACATATTACAAAAAAGCTACACGAGCTTGCTGTTGCTAATCTCACTCGACTGTTTATGTTTGAGGATAGGCTGGTCCTGACCAGCCTATCCACAAACGGGACTCGGAGCCCTGCTCCGCAGGATAATACTATAAATAATGTTTAAGTGGAGTTTTGCTTGACCTTAGTTTTGCTGCTCAAATTTAATCGAATTGCAACCAGGCCATTTATGTTGTCAAACTTGATCATTTTGCAAATGTGAGTGCCCTGTAACCTACTACAATTAGTTGGCTGAATGCCGGTACTTATGGTAGCTTTGAGTTGGCATGCTCACTCAAAGGTCACATTGGCGGTGGCACGAGAAGGTAGCTTAATGGTGTCTGAGATAATTTGTCAATAGATCAATAGATCTCCTAGCTTGTCATAGACCACAGCGCCTCAGCCAGAAAGTACCGGCACATAAATAGTCCAGCGGTAACGCTTTGGGCGAAAGTGACTATTAATCGAGTATTTTAACTGATCAATTATGTATGGTGGTAAACAAAAGTATATATTATGCTCCTTGACACGAATTAACCAATAAACCAAGTGAAAAGTAACCTATTAAATTAGGTAATAAATGAACACAATTCTGTCAACAATTTGTAGATAGTATAAAACATTTATTTTAAAACATCGACAACCGTAGTCTAAAAACTTAGATGTATAAAATGTTCTAAAAGCAATGCGTTGAGAAAATTATTAGTACTGTAGTTGAACATAACCTACAACGCTAAAATAAAGCTACTCAGAAAACGTTTTTTTGCTTTTTCTTTCGGGTTTGTACTTGGTTGATTATTTTGCTTAGAGTCTGAAGAACTAAAGTCTGAATCCAACTCAAGGAAGAAAGGCCTCGTTACCATTGGTCTACCTCTGACCTTCTTAGATTGAAGCAGTTTTTGACGTGGAACCTGGTTTCTCAAGATGAATTTCTTATTTCCAAAAGAGTTTCGGTTCGCATCTTGGTCTATGTCATAATTTATGCGAGTTCCTTGAAAAGTTTCTTCTTGGACGGTCGTCCACTTGGCTTCGAAGCTGTTTTGCATTTCATCAGAATCAGCATGTTTTGACTCCTCATTTGAATCTGTTTCCAAGTTATCAGAAAACTTGTAATCCATTTTTAAATCCGAATCAGTTTTTACTGAATCTGACTCATCTGTATCTTTTGAACTAGGAGCAATGTCATCTAAATCTAATTGAACTAATTCTGCATGTTCATGTTTTGATGATTTCGCTTTGCTTGTTACAGGTTTATGTTTCGCTTTAGTATTGTCTTCATTTCTAATAAATATCGATTTAGTAACCTTGCTTGATGCTTTCGTTTTGATAGTTTCTTTTGTAGTATGGAGATTCTTTTTCTTTTTTGGAAGGATTTTTTGAGTACTAGGAATTTCAATACTAAGTCCATGATATTCATTGCTAGATTGTTCGTAATTATCTGTATATTCATTGGCATTATCTTCATTTTCTGATTCATGATCTGAAGATTTCAACATTCTAAGCGCTGGTTTAAAACCGTCCGAAGGAAGTATACTTTTCAGAAAGGAGTCAATGCTATGTGATATTATGGATATAACTGGAGTAGTAGTTGTAGCTTTAGTAAAGGGAATTCTATGCTTGTGGGTTTTTATTTTTTTAGTGATTGCTTTGATTTTCCCAGGTGTGCCTGTTTCTCTTTTTATAGTTTTGGTGAAGTCGTCAGAAAGGTCGCCGTAAATGACGTCGTCTGTCAAATTATTGTCGGCCTTCACTAAGTCTATCAATATCTCCCTCAGCACTTTGACTTCTTCTGGGTAGTTTACAGCGTGGTTCCGTAATCGAATCTTTTGCAATGGTGTCATATTCAAGTGTATTAATCCAAAACTGTTTGATATTCTGCGCGTATCATTATGATTTTTATAGATTCTACTAGCATTCTTATGCATACTCTGAAAAAGTTACCAAAATAAACAGACATCTTATAATAATACATGAACTTGAGTGATATTATTTATCCTTTGCTTTTTCTTTGCTTTTTATCATAACTTTGTAATAATATATTTGTTATGAAAGAAAAACAAATATATCATGTTGTAGTGGTAGTCTTTTTTTAATGCACTAAGTCGGCAAATGACAGACGCATGATTACCTGACGATAAGCAATCGACGCCGCCCATGGACACCCGCAGCACCAAAGGAGTTACGAGTGCGTTGCCGGCCTTTTGGGGATAAGGGTTGCGGGTATTTAAGGATTGGGAAGGGATAGCTGAGGGAAAGGCATTGGGGAGGGGCCCAATCCTCACCTACGTAACCTCACTCACACGGCGAAACACAACGCTGTGGTTGTTTTACGCCGGTTTTCTGTGAGGCCGTGGTATTGCTCCGGTCGAGCCGACCCATTCGTGCCGAAGCTTGGTTCTCTCACACTTAGGACAGTACCAGAGTAGAAGAAAACTTACAAGAATAAGAGAATTCGTAAAATATTCTAATCAGTCTAAAATATTCAAAACACGTTCATTGACAAAAAAACCAGTCAATCTTTACCTTTGTTAGGTATATTTTCGTCCCCTTACCAGAATATTTTCAATCCATTCGGCATAGTGGCCGAGCTTGGTGAAAACTGTTAATGAATTGTTTGCCCCACATTCTGAATCCCCGAAGCTGACTATTCCCATTAATACTGCGTCAACTATCCCTGGCCCTCCTAGGTCTCCCTGTAAGAGTAACTTTGCATTAAAATAAAAGCAATACAATTTATTGGATCTGTATATGTTAAACTGTAGTGCTACAGCTTGTATCGACGCCCAAAGGACCCCGGTATTTAGCTACAAATGGTTTCACGACGAACAGCTAAGTATGCTATTCTCAAAATGTTAATTTGCGAAACCACTTCTGAATCCGCAGTGAAATCATGTTTATTTAAAGTTTTGTATTTTCAAATTGAGTGAAATCTACATGGCACTAAAACAAGTGAGTAGTATGACGTTTGTGTATAGGCGAGATGAGAAGCGAAGTGGTGTGTGACATTCGAGATGAGTTTCGAGGCGATTTTCCATTTGCAGAATAGCACTGCTGATAACGACAAAAGAAATTGAACAAACTTATGTAATAAATCTAATAAATAAATCCTAAGTGAAGTGTTAAGTGTTTGTGTAATGTGTTATATTATATGATACTTTAACAATCCTAGTAATGTATATGAATCAAGATGATGAAAATGAAAACGGTTATGAACTACGCTTTGTAGATATCACAGTTGAAGAGGGAATGAAAATGTGAGGTTTGTTTGAATGAAACTTATTTTATTAAGTATAATGATAAATTATTATACTAAATAAAATATGTTTTTGTTCATCTCTCATAGTATTAAAAATTCAAAGAATGCTACTAACGGGACATGCCCCTCGGCTTGAGTTCTCCACGCCAACACAGAAATTATTATTGGATATAAAATCTCTGAAATAACAAAACAATCCTTCAGTACGATTATATCTTTAAAAAAATATATGTAATAATAATGAAAGCATTGACTTACACTGAATATTTCTGCACGCATTTTTCAACAGGTAGTAAGTTCAAGAAATCCATGGAAAGATGTGGATCCTTCTGTATCTCTTGACCCTTCTGAAAAAACATACTCAAGAGTTCAAGTAAACTACTAGACAAACATTCAAAAATACCTTATTGATTAAACAATGGAAATTATACCTCAGTATCAACCCAGCCAAGGGTTAAAATTCTGTGAGTGTTGTTCGTGATTTTTTCTTCACTTTTATCGTACAAAATACGCCTGATTCTTTTCTGTTGCCTTGAGAATCGATTCCGTTTTTCCAAGCTGAGAATTGCTATGTTATTAGACAAGGTCTCTGGGTTGTATGCAGGGTGCAAGTAGAGGTTCTGAACTGGTATAGTTTCGCCACCACGTGTTGTATAATCGCTGCCTAGTCTAACGTAGATTGCCTTGAGATTATTCTTCAAATAGTCTTGCTGGTAAGCTCTGGGAACAAAACATAATGGTATATCAGTTACGGTAAAAAAAATGTTGAAAGTTATAAACGTGATACTGCTGTGACCAATGATGATGACTTACATTTGTAAACAGGAAGCTGCCGTGATGATTAAGTCTCTGTGGATGATGGAGCCGGTGCAGGCAAACTCTCCTAAGATGTGAATGCTCACCATAAAAGGGAATTGGTTTACATGGGCCTTGGTGCCACCAAATAACCTTCTAGTGTTGAAGGATTCTAATTCAGTACTTCTTGGTCCTTCTACGCAAATAAAATGAAAACGTTACGTCGTTAAATTGTTTTGCTATTAGTTATGTTAGGAATGTAAGAAAAGATATGACTTGCATATAATAATAAACATCATAAAGACTCAGCCGTGGGGCAACAATACGAATAAAATTATACATTTTATAGCGCTTATTTCGATTTCGATAGATGATATTTAGATACCAGACAGCAGTGCTCTTCCGAAAAAAACTTACCCCAAACTTTCAGATTCTTTCTCGATGAGACCAAAATCCGATGTTTAGAAGACTTTTTAAAAAAATTACGTAGAGTATGATTGTTGATATTCGTCAGAATACGAAAAATAATCTCTTTAAATTCTGCACTTTTTTCAAATCCAGGTATATCGATGAGATCCATAGCTTGTTCTTCATCATTCGATTTTTTCTTACGTTTGCTTGCTTCTCTAAATGCACCGTACGCGTCATAGTTGTTTTCGTTGAGTACTTCTTTTACTTTGGTGTCTAATGATATTAAATTGGCAGCTTCGTTCCTGGTATCTTGTTTAATGAGATTCTGTATTTCATTGAAGACGTTGAGGTTCTGATCTGCTATGTTACTCAAATGATAATGCATTGTAAGAAGCAATTTAGTATTAAATGCTTTAGTAAAATTCGTAGTAACGCTGATAGATTCGAACAAATTGTCCATAATTGAGTGAATTGTTACGTACACGTTATTGAAAAACGGATCTACAGAATTTAAATCATCATTTCTTTGATGATGATGTTTAGCAATCGCCATTGTTATAAGAAAAATGATAAATTTACCAAACATCATTGTGTTCCTAATACAACTTTATTAATTACGTATAGAAAAGTATAAAAATTCTAACTTTTTATCCACAACAGTCGATTCTAAGTTGAAGTTACGAAATTCAATTTCAACAGTTAAAAATGAGAGACGAAAAGCAATACCAATATGAACATTAAAAATGTTGGCACACTTTTCATATTATTTTTATTGACTTTTGAATCGATAGCAAATCCGTTTGTTTTGTTTATTTTTCACATGGTCTTCAAATTGGCAGACGTTTGAAAATCAGCAATAACCTGATGTTAAGCAATCAACATCACTCATGCATGGACATCCGTAATACCAAAGAGTTTCAACTGCCTAGCTGACCTTTTCAAGATTGTGAAAGATTTGAGATTAAGGTTATTTGGAGTGAAATGGGGATGACGAAGAATTGGGCCTCCTGCACCAAAAATCACAAGAGTTGTTTTAACACATGGTTGTGGTATAATATGTTCAGGGGAGTTACACGCCTTGATTCCTCCTAATCCGTTCCACTACCATACCACCGGCAAGACGTCATCGCTTTATAGTGGATATCCCACCCATACGTACAAAGCGGTTCGCCTCCATCAAAGATTGCATTATCGCTGGCGTCCACGCGTGATAGTGGGCAATTGTCTGCACATTACGAAATATATTTATTTACTTTTTAATATTCGCACAACATTTAATGAGGATCAAAAGTTAGTTAGGTCATTATTTTATTAATACTTATTGCGGGACCATTAAGACACCCTTAAGGCATCTTATAGACAGTGACGTCAGTCTGTAGTCAAATTCAAAAATGTTATGGTTGGGAGAGTCATTCTTCGGCACGAATGGTCGGCTCGACCGGAGTGAGAGAGTATGAGAGAAACAACTAGGTTACTAGGTTGCCGTAAGCCTAATCTTTCCCCTCACCTAATCCCTCTCCAATCTCTAAATCCATAATTCCCAAAAGTTCGGTAACGCACTCGTAACTTGTATATTGTTGCGAGTATGAGCTAGCATGAGCGGCGCTAATTGCTTACCATAATCCGTTTGCACGTTTGCCATCCTAATAATGCCGTCCACACACAAAAAATTATATCAAATGTCAAAGATTATTAAATAACGTATTAGTATAATTTACACTTTGAAAGCATTCATTGACGAACAGACTGACAGCTTATTATTCTATTTTGACGATTCAAAAATACCTGTTTATGATTTAGTTGCAATCAATGATTTTGACTTTGATTTTGACCTTGACTCTTCTACTAATCTTAAATTTTAAGTGAGATCGCTTTGCGTCAAAAATCGTTTGTAAAAAATTTGCCAAAATGCCCAATATTAAACTGATATGTAGTAAAGTCAATCAAACGAAAATGGGTAATTTTATTTCAGTTCATCGAACATTCTAAATAAAACACAATCAAGTGTCAAGTATTTTATATAGTGCATCCGAATTCAGAACTTATTTCGGATGCATTAAATAATAATTATGAATGTCACCAAATAGCCCACGACCTGGTGGACGACTATATCCAATCTGTTTGCTTCGCTTGTGATTTTGCAGAAGCGCCCGTTGGCGCGCTGTTTTCTTTGTCGCTTTTGTAGGTATCGCCTCGTCATAGTTGGCGTCTTTAGTCCGTTCATAAGATAGCAAGATGAAGTCAGTGATAGAGCCAATAGTAGTAGTAACGGTCCGTTCTGTAACAGTTTCAGTTTGCGGCTGTTCCAGCTCAGTCATGTGATGTGGCTTTGTGGGTGAAGTCGACAAGGGAATCGTGACATACTTCGTTGAAGTTTTCGGAGTAAAAATCCAAGATAGAGGAATAAAGCTTTTGTTCACTAACGGATGTTCCAGATACTTAATTCTTTTTGTAGTGCTGAACATGTCAACAACGTCTTCTTCGGGCATATCTTCATACAAAATGTCTGGCAAGGAAACGATATCACTCAGCTCTGGTATGCCTCCAGCACGCTCGGCAAGATTGTGGGCTTCTTCAGAAGAAGGTACATATCTTGGAATAATCGTTGGTTTCGCTTTCAGGATAGGCGGCCTTGTTAAATGTTTGAGTGGCCGAATTATAGTTCGCACTTGTAATGGCTGTATACCAGATCTCTGCAAAACACAGGGAAATTAAACGAATTTATATTTGAGTTAGATATTTTATTACATTTAGTTAATAAATTGAATTATTGTCGTATCTTCTTGAGTCACTCATAGGCCTTAGATCATTCATGTTTTGACTTCTTAAAACTGGTAGTATTTGGCCTAATGTGCTTTGTATTGAAAAGAACGGGTTTATCCGCACTGTCGTAGTAGAAGTGTAAGGGTATTGTTGATCTGTCAGATGCCTGGGTGTTGTTCGCGCTCCTACTACAACGCCATACTGCAAAAGAGCGGAAATTCCTTATTGTATTTCAATGCAATACAATCTAAGCTAATTTAAAATCTCATGGGTTGTATTCAAAACCAGGCAAGTGCCAATGTATTTTTTTCTAGAAATATATACACTTTCTAAGTTTATTTAACACCACTGACATAAGGCGCAGATAAACTTCGCTAGGAAATCTAAACTTATAATAAGTTTATCGCCAATACGTCTTGTGAGTGGATTGGTGGTGGTGATAAATAGTAAAACTCTCCGAGTAAGAAGAAGTTTTTGCTTAGCAAAAACGGGGACTTATGGGCTGATAATGCTGATGATGATGATGATGGCAAATGAGCCAACTGATTACCTAATAGAAAGCAATCAACGCCGCCCATGGACACCTGCAACAACGGAGCCGGTTGCCGACCTTTTGGGGATTAGGGATTTGGAGTTTTTGGGATTGAGGAAGGGGAAGGATTGGGCCTTCGAAACCGAAACACAACATTGTGATTGTTTTACGGTTTTCTGTAAGACCGTGGTAGCAATCCGGTCGAGTCGAAGCATGGCTCTCCCACACTTAAGCTGATGATGTAGATGACAATCGAAGCTGTTCCACACAACGAGGCATCCATCCGTGTCTTGTACAAAGGGTATTGAAGGTAAGTTATTACGATAAAATATTGGAATATGCAATCACCGTCTTAATAATGCTCTTGATCCATTTCCCATAGTAGCCAAGTTTCGTGAAGACAGTAGGGGAGTCCACGGCTCCGCACACAGGCGCACCAAAGCTTATAACTCCGACCAGCGTTCCACCTACAACCCCAGGACCACCGACATCTTTCTGAAACATAAATAAAAATCTTTGAAGAGTTGGTACGATACAAAACCGATTTTTCTGAGGAAGTACTACTTTTTTTTAATGTCGGCAAACGAGCTGACAGATTACCTGATGGTAAGTAATCAACAGAGGGGTTACGAGTGCGTTGCCGACCTTTTGGTGATTAGGGATTTGAAGATTTAGGGATTGGGGAGGGGAAGGATTGGGCCTCTGGTAACCTCACTCACACGGCGAAACACAATGCTGTGGTTAATTCACGCTAGGTTTCTGTGAGGCCGTGGTATCAGTCCGGTCGAGCCGACCCATTCGTGCCGAAGCATGACTCTCCCACACTTAGCTACTGCTTAATACGGGGTACGTCTCAGTTAACTCTGCCTTAAGTCTCCAAGGGACGGACGAGCATCACTATCCTCTAAACTTTTAATGACTTTGCTGCGGTCCAAACCTTCCTCCTTGGGGCATTTTTTCTGGTGAAATGTCGAAAGTTTGTGTTAAGAAAAGTAAACTATGTTGAGATTGAGGTACAAACATTGCACGCGCCGCCGCCTTGCGTTATGAATCCAGCGCAAAAGTGTTTCTCCGTTACAAAAGTGCTGAAAGGTATAGAAAAAATTTAATAGCCTTCACGTAACATTTCTTATGAAATTTAAATCAGTTGGCCTTGTACTTTAGGATTTTATCCTGTACCGTGGGTGCATTTACAATTATAGCAAATCACATGCACATTACACCCAGACCCGGAATACGATACACAGCAGTCAGTCGTTCAAATACTTCGCTAACCGTGTAATTAGATTAAGGGCTTTTTTTTTGTCAGGGGAAAATCATCAAATGACCTCCTTTCTCGTCCAGGGAAGGCGAGAGAGAGTGTCAGACTCTTACTGACTAAACCCTCCCCCCGTTCCTTCTCCTGCTCTGGGCCGAGGCCGCGGTGACTCATTGCGCTTAACCCGCAAAACGGGCAATTAGATTAAGGGCTGATTTTTCAATCTTACTAATATTATTATCCGGATAAATCCGAGTTACGATATTTGTCACTTAATCACGCCAAAACGGCTGGACGGATCTAAATAAAATTCGGCACAGGCATAGGATACGCTCTGGAATAGGACATAGGCTTTTTATCAACATACCACGCTGGCGAAGCCGCGGGCGGAAGCTAGTAGTCAGGTAAATGTTATATGAGGAATAAAATTGTTGCTGTCATTGTCTTATACAAAGTCTCTGACATGACAGCATCATAATTATTTTCCCAGGTAGCTTTTAACAAACCATTGAGAAATCAGCCCTTAGTGTGTTAAACAATATGAAAAGTCCCTTACGGAGAATAGATCTCAGCGCATTCGTTTACTTGGTAGATGTCAAGCTTTGCCACTAACATTTTTTCAAATTGGTCTATCAAGTTGCTTTGCTGCAATCATTAATGAGGTTTAGTTCGTTAGAGTCCAGAAGACAACCTTCAACAATCATGAAGCTCCGATGTCTCACCTTCCTAGCACCCCATCCAACGACTATAATACCATCAGTGTTCGTCGCTAAATTCGCTGGAATCCTGTCGTATTTAATTCTCTTCACTTTCTTCTCCCGTCTCAAAAATCTTATATGTTTATACAACCGTAACATTACAAGATTGTTGGCCAAGGTCTTAGGGTTGTAAGCAGGGTGAAAGTACGCCTCCATTACTTTTATGATCTCTCCTCCTCTGCTGAAGTAATCACTGCCGACACGAACGGTTACACCGCTTGGATTCTCTCTATAGAATCTGTTATTGTAAAGCCTGGAAAGGAATTCATCATGGTTACATTTAGTTTAAGGACTTTATTTTATGCTAATCTTTTTACAGCAAAATGTTTCGCCAGTTATTCTAGAGATCTGGCATGTTATATCACTGGGTCAGTCTGCCTTCCGTCCGCCCTCTGTCCTTATGCTTCGTTTATTTTTTACTTACAATTATACATTTGAGATCAGTTTTCAATATTAGTTTTAATTTCTTATATAGAAGAAGAAAGAAGAAAGAAAATCCATTTATTTCTCCTCTGAATTTTCCTTCTCTTTTTATAGACGAAATGAGTAAAACTATCAAAGGGCTAAAGAAACTTACGGAGTCACTAGTACGTTTAAGTAACTTACAATTGTAAGCAGGACGCTGCACTGATGACCAGGTCCTTGGTGAGAATAGAGCCGGCACAAGCGAAGGTCCCCATCAGATGGATGCTCACAAGAAACGGGTAACTCTTAACTGTACTCCGTTTGCCTTTATATATCCTCCTACTCTCGGTGTCGTTGACGAAATCTAATTCCAGGACCGGTGGTGGATCTGAAAATAGTCGCTATGGCATAAATATCATCAAATAATTGTGCCATCGACTTTGCTTACATTCCGTTACAAATTGATATCAAAAGTATTTGTATAAGTGTCAGTGCATCTAAGACTAATCAGAAATTTTAATGTATGACAAAAAATATTAATACTAATAATACTTTTGGATAACTATTCGATAACAATGAATTAAAAACGAGTGTTGATCTTTCGAGTTAATTTATCCCACGAAAGTGAGTTAAAGTAGTAATATAACCAATGTGCAGTTTCCACGTCTCTAACATTTTATTTGTTCGAGAAATATAGAAATAGAAAGAAATACTGGTCTATTGTACTTGGTATATGATTGTCTACAAATGTAAAGCATTTGTTTAGGTAGATTCGTCGATATTTCACGATGCCGATGTTTTGTTTGCGATTCGATGACAGACGCGAAAACTGGATACAGTCAAACAAGATGCACAAAGACTGTCTGAAAATATGTATATTAACAAAAATCTTATAAAATTAAGCCAATGATATAACTCCCGAGCTGCGATGAGCCAAGGGCAATGGGTAGGTACTATTGATTATCTAAAATTTGCTACATTTAGGTGAGCAATATTATTTGCTGCTAATAGCACCATAGAACAATTTCTACTAACCCCAGAACTCAAGATCATCATCATCATCTTCTTCTGGTTGTATCACATCTGGGGGAGGTCTGGAGAAATCGTTTTCACTAAGCTGGTCAATTTTCTTTATAAAGTCTTGAATGAATTCCATAAATTCATTGCTGTCAGCGAATACAGGCTGTGGCTTAGTGGACTTTTCCAAAATTGTCTCTGTTGTAGACGTCTGAGTTCGTGGAACATGTGTCACTCTTTTGTGCTTAGTTCGTTTGCGTGGCACATATTTCCCATACAAAGTGCTGGATAGATTGTAAGGTTTGTTATCCAGTATATCTTCAATAAGCTCAAATAATGATATACCATTCGTGGTGCTTTTGTCTGTGCTAAATTCCACAGCGTCTAACATCTTTTCGTGAGCGTCGAAATTTTTCTCTGCAATACTTTTTAGATCATAATGCATTGTTAACAACAATTTGATCCTCGATCTTGATGGGAAGTCCGGCGCTAAGTTCAGTGAGTCGAACAGATTGTTCATTATATTTTGAACATCATCGTCTACCTTCGAATACACATTTCTCTTAGATTTCAATATGGTCTCAAGAAGTGTCCTATAATTATGTCTAGCTACCACCACATGAATAAGGAGCATGATAATAGCCGTCAATTTCATTTTATACAAATTTAAAATAACTTAAATAATTACAAATACGGATTGACTTAGGTGCGTACAAAGAAAAGATCGAATTAAAAAACATAACTTTGCAGGTGTTCGATAAAAATCTTTTAAAATTTACTTTCGTAACTGCTGTTGGTAATTTATTGGCTTTTTCAATAAAACAATAGTCATAAAACATATTTTATTTATTGAGTAACAACTTTAATAAGAAATATATTTTGATACAAGTTTAAAGTTTTCCATTTTATTTATAAAATTTTTGTATAATATTTGTTGGATACAAGACTCATCTTTTTTCACATGTCTGCCATCAAGAATAATATCTTGTATTTAATTGTTTTCACTATTTTCGTGCAGACCCGGGGCCTTGTAGAACTCCATAACGAAGAAGCTGTCGAAATAGTTGCAGTCGAGTCATCGATACGAGGCGTCGCTAACGAGATATTCTCTGCTCTTAGACTCAAAGACGTCAAGCATAAAGCGAGGATCAAGGAGTTCTTAACAATTCACAACTTCTTTGTCTCCATCACCTTACAAGACCAAACCAATCTAAAAGAAATAGCAAGTCTTGTAAAAGTTGATAACATCGATAACAACACGCGACATTTTATTACACTGTTAAATGAGGTTTTAAATGAAGATAATAAAAGCACTGAAGCACAAGATGATGCTTATGTTACAACACATATAGAAACGTTTATAAAGAAAATTAAATATTTAAAAGATGTATATGGCTTCGCTAACAATAATCATGGCTTCGGTATAAATCCACAAATTTTGCAACACATGGAAAAAGACGTCAGTTCTAAAAACACAACTCAAGATGACAATGATTCGGACAATAATCTTTTAAGCGATTTGGAATATTGGCGTGAGTAAATTTGTACCAGTATTTTTTTTTCGTTAACGAATACATTTTAAAATTTTTAGTTTTACGTTTTATAATATTTTTATATTCCAGAACCTAGTGGTCGGCGCATCTTCCAGGGTAAACGGCAAAAGATTACGCGGTACCCCTTCGTAGCAAGCATTCAATTTTTCAAAAAGTTCCAATGTGGGGGATCCATCATTAAATCTGATCTAGTTATCACTTCTGCGTCATGTCTGCAACTGTGTGTTGTTTTTTTTTTATTTATACATTAGTTTTTTAAGGGCCTGCAGTGTGATTCTGTAAGACTTTATTCTAAACTTCGAATCTGAATCCGCTGTGAGTAGTAGTACATTAGCGCTACACTTGCGAGTTGAACTAAATTGACAGCAACATTTTGATAGATAAAGTATGAGATGACGTTAAAAGTGACATTCTAAAATTTAATTTCCCCGTCACTTCAATGCTCACTTCGCACTCGAACACGATTCGAAATCAAACAAATTTTATAGAATCGACGTGCTGTTTCAAACATCGAGTAGTTGCTACCTATCTATGTATAAATAAAATGAAAAATAGAACGTAATTCGTATAAACTATATGACACATGCGTTCATCGGGAATTTATAAGATTGTTGTGAAACAGGCGCTTAAATGTATAAATTAACTTGATTGGTTAACAGATTGTATCGCAACTAATGACAAATTAATTTGGTTTGCTACAGAGCCTATAACAACCGCTTCTTCAGAGAAAACCCGGCTTTCCTCTCTGTACAAGTTGGCTGCGAGTTATACGAGGGTGGAGATGAGAACATTCCCATTCAAGAGGTTTACTTTCATCCCGAGTATGACCCTAAAAATTTAAGGAACAACCTAGCGATTATGCGCTTACATCGTGTCTTACGTTTTGGGAAACGTGTCAAGAAGATCAAGAAGATTGACTTTGATAGAGAGCCTTCGCCATTGCCCGCAAATATTGATGGTATCACCATCATAGGATGGGGTGCTAAAAGCGTAAGTTGCCTACTCTAAGCAAGACCCGCGTTGGATTTTAAACGACACTTAAAATTTATTTTATTTTATTTTTCAGAGTAGCAATATCATTAAAAGCGTTTGGTCCAACCGACTGTCTTCCGCGCTGCTTGACTTCTACCCGTTAAAGGAGTGTCAAGATGTATATTCCAAGTAGGTTTTACTTTTGGTAGCTGATTATCACTAAGTATCAAGTCATCCAATGTGTTCCCTCTTCAGAAAATTGTGAGCGTAAAATAGGATGAGAGTATGGTGTATGTGGAGATTGTAGAGCCTACTTTGTTGTAGCTGTATTAAATGTTTCTTTGCGTACTGTAAATGAGAGAATCTTATGTCAAATATTTAATTTTATCCTTTACTTGGCTCAGGGCATCACTTGATTATATAAATATATTACACTGAAATGCATTCTTCCGTTTGCAGGGAGTTCGTAACGCACAAGAATTTTTGTGCTGGATTCTTCTCAAAAGGAGGTGGAGCTTGTAATGTAAGTGCCAAGACTTAAGACGATGAATTATTAAGAATACTTCCTTGACATTATTGACAATGGTTTAAAATGACTAAGTATGATAATCAGGACCAAACTATGAGAGACGATCTCCGGCCACCTTAAGCGCGGGTCTGCAAACGGCGCGTAAGGGTAACTCGCCGCCCAACTAGAACCAGACCCGAGCGTACGGCATGTAGCGTCCTACGCGCGTCTCAAAGAGCTAATAGACCATCACATACGGAGCCCTATAGGGCTGATGTTTAGCCAGGGTTGCGGGTTAAGCGCAATGAGGCACCTCGGCCTAGAGCAGGAGGAGGAACCGGGGTTTTGTAGTCAGTAAGAATCTGACTCTTCCTCCGCCTCACCCTGGGCGGAAGAAATCATTTGATGATTATCCCCTGACAAAAAATAAATAAAAATAAGACCAAATTATGAACTTGTATATGTGCCTTTGTGTCAGATTAACTAGAATACCTACATAAAATTAACGACTTTTTCATGTTATCATTTTTTTTTGCTTAGCGGGATGCTGGTGGGCCTGGAATAGCACATGGGATTTTATTGGGAGTGGTCAGCTTCGGGTCACCGAACTGTGGCGCCCCGGACTCCCCCACAGTTTTTACTAAACTTGGCTACTACAGAGATTGGATTGAAGAAATCTTAGAAATGGTGCGATCTCATTTCGTTTTTTTTATAACAATCTATATAATGCTAGGTAACACAATATATAAATCAGACCGGTACCACAAAGTTGGAATACAATTAAAAAACACGTTTATTTCAGGAAATAAAAACTAATAAGATTAGAACCACGCTTAGATCGACGAGAGAGACTTACAAAGTGGAACATTACATGACAACAAAGTCTGTTTACGCACTCGAGCCAGTCACACAAGAAGGTGATTCTTATGGGATTGCGCGTTCGCCTATTTATAGCACAGATGCTCTAAGATCCTTAAACGATAATAATCTCTTTAAAGATTTCGTCATCACTATGTTTGGTAGCGAAGAAGCGAAAGAATATCTAGATCAATATGAAAATGAGAAGGATACATCAACAGACGACGAAGAAAACTTAAATATTGAAGCTGACAAGGTATTGAATATGATAAGAATTAATACCAGACCAACTACTGTACCAACTTCTAACGTAAGGGTCAGTGATGACAACAAATCTTCTATTGAAACCGATAAGGATTATAATTCGGGTTCTGTTGAAATGGTCTCCACGCTCGGCTACTTTGATGAGACACCTCAACGCGACAGCAGTAGTGATGAATCACGCACGACACCAAAGTTGGTCGTAAACTATGCAGTTGCATCGGAGAGCACGGAGTTATTGGAAGCAGATATTGCGAAGCTAATTGATGAAATTGATATACAAAAACTGTTAGAATCTGGGTTAAGTGACTCCTCGGCAGATTTTGATAAAGAAAGTAAATCATCAACTACTACACAAAGCCCGACAAATAAAAGAGTCACCGAAAGTAAAACATATGAAGACACTAGTGACGACGATGATGAATACGGTGATGGTGAAGATGATGATGATGATGATGATGATGTCAACGATAAAGCTGGAGATCGATTTTTGCATTTGATTGATTCGACACACAAAGTGACTGAGGGGAGTCAGAAACGATTACATCAAAAACAACACCAGCAAAAACAACACCAACCAAAACAACATAAACAAAAACAACATCAACGAAAACAACATAAATCAAAACTACATCAAACAAAACAACATCAACGAAAACAAAGCCAACCAATACAACACCAACCAAAACAAGTGAATCAACAAAAACTATTACAACAACAACAACTGGATCAAGAACTGAGAATACTAGATGATTCGTTAAAAGATTATAATATTGGGCAAAATTATTCTTATAGTTCTGGCGGAATTCTGGACATATTATCTCAGAGTGACCTAATGAGACTGTTAAAAGAAGTAGTAGCTGACGCAACCAACGGCAGTACTTCGAATGATAATTCACCTATTTTTGATCTCTTTGGCCAATAATGGAATCGTTCTGATGTTTGATAGACTTATGCTCTTGTTAATACTAAAAAGTAGTGAGATTAAAATACACATTTATAAAAAAGAATATTGGTATATTAGACTTTGCTCACAATGGTTGTTCTTGTTGTTAGGATAAAAAATCATTTTATATGTCTGCACAATCGACGCTCTTGTTTATATAACTAACCAAATAAAACAATGCTTATTAAATATATGTCCCTCCAATATAAATCGCCGGCGCCCTGCTAGGTGCAGGTTTAACCCCATATCATCCTGGCCCCCAGTACCAGTTCCACCATCAGGCACACATCCAGCGACGAGCGGTTCGAATCGTTGATTGCGCTGATGTCTCAGATCTGCTGGACACTTTGGCATTGCGTGGGGACATAGCCTCGGTGTGCGTTTTCTATCGCTTATACCACGGGGAGAGCCCCGAGAAATTACTTGATTTCATCGTCACTTACCCACGCGACAAAACTTTCAAATTATCATAATACGAGTAGATAGTTGATATTCAACAAATGCGCAGATTTCGCGATACTTTCTGCCTCGCAGAGCAAAACTTTGGAATGGTTAAAAACTGTCATTAAGTGGCATCAAATTAAGGATAAGATTGAAAAAATTGTTTGGCAGCATGTTGGTTCGGCTCCATAGGACAATGCACAAATATACCTACTTAGTAGTTACTAAAATTCTAGATCATTAGCTAAAATGATGAATGAATACTCTATTATGGCATCATCAACATTTATTTTTATTACTGGAACTATGAATTTATAAGGTATATATATGATTTTTAATTATGAGTGTCAGTTCAAATAATATGTGAGCGCCTTGTTCGAGACGATACAGATTTTTTTTTCAACAATATCTTCTCAGCGTTTTTCTCACATATTTGTACTAACAATAATATGGATTACTAATGTCTTGATGAGACTGTAAAACATATTTTTTAGAAGAGTATCTATTATGTTTCTTTATTGTTCTTCTACAGTTTTAAATGTACAGATTAAGTTGGAATATTATATTAAGTAACTTGTGTTGTAACGTAATCAAATCTATTTTGCCCTATCCAGTGTAAAAGCAATACAGATAAAATATAACATATTGCGTAGGTTTTTGTTTTACCCTAAATACGTGGCGTGCCACTGGGTAGAGTGTTGGGACCAATTTTGTTACTGTTATATATTGACGACATTGTTTATTTTACCAAACATAAGTGTTTTGTCTTTGTTAACGACATATCGATTAAAGTTACAAAAAATAAAAACGGAAACATAACCAAATAGCACGAACTTAACATAAACGATTTATAAACTTACTTAACGAACCTTTCTATTCTATACATGAATTCACGCAGAGTTAACTAAATTTTCGTTATCTTCCATAATGCACCTACTACCTTTTATTATTGTTTAACTTTGCATGCTATGTATAAAATTAGCAAAAATGCTGTACTTACTTATTTAAGTACTTTTTTGTAAAACCATATTTTTTTACATACGCGTCGGGGCACTGAATGTGTTAAGTTTTTCATTTTTTTACCTCTTTAAACATTGACGATGCATACAGACATACAAAATAACACCGGAAACAATTCTACATACGACTAGGTACAATAGATTGAAAACCTTTATTTTTTGGGTTTATTTTAATTTTGAAGGGGCAAAATAATAATAATATATTTTTAAATGTTATAATTCACATTAAATTATAGTTGTCGGGGAGGCCCCAGTTTTTCACTTTATGATGAAAATTGGAAATGAAAATTTAATCACTTTAAAAAAAGAGCTAGAAGATTTGTTGTCTAAAGAATTTGAAGAAGAAATAAAAAAAAACGCAATATTTAAAATGAAAGTGTGTAGATTGCGTAGACCGAAACGTAGAAATCAATAGACAATAACTCGTGTCAAAATCCGCCAGATGTCGCCCGCTCTCTAAATTTTCAGTCTCGGGTGGTGATAAGATTATTTAGCAAGAGAAACCACATTTTTGAGGTAAAAATAATTATTTTTACTGAAATATTTTGTGTTACGTGATCTGTTACTTCTCGTTTTTGTAGTTAATAAGTGTAATTGTTTCTGCATACGGTAAGTTTTGTAAAATAACATACCACAGTAGGTACCTAGTTGTCAAAATACGTAAGTAAATTCCAAATTCGAATTTAAACAATTTTTTATTTCCTCAATTTTTGTTATGGTTCACGAAAGGGTATGTCATTTTCATTAACTTATTTGTGAAATAAGACATTTCAAGAGATCGTAATGCCGTCTTTAGCTATCAAGTTCATGTTATGTAACTCTTCCCTATTGATCACCGCGGACATAACCTCTTTGGAGAAATATTTTCATTTTAATTTCCTGTACTGTTGTTTCGTGGAACTTGATTACCGGAATGTTTCGGCAGAATGTTTTAAATTTGAACATTCATTTATTAGACTTCTGTCCAGTATATTGTTTGATTGTTCCAAAGGCTATTATATCTGTCAATTTTCCTGTCTTATCTGTACTTATTTAGTTTTTATTGTTTTTGTAGGTTTTTTGCAAGTATTAAATAACCAGAATAACGAAACTGCTTTGTATTTAGTAACAATTTAAATAGATGTATCTAACTTGAACTTATTAAGTATACAACATTTTTAAGTAAATGATATTGCCCTAGTTATTTCTTTCAAATAATCAGCTACCTACTTAAATGAGCCTACTTTATCAATCAGATAAAAGTTATGAAATTCATATTGCTGTATAAATGAATATGAAATGCTGTAATATGAATTGTGACAATCATAGTTTACATGTTGAAGAATAATGTTTATAAATGGAACCTGCATTAATCAGCCAGTATTAACAAGTCTTTTCTTTTGTTTTAAAGTTAGAATTTTGATTAATGTAAAGGAATGTGACAATTTAGAATTTAATTTTGAAGATAGACTGTATTTCATACATAAAAACTATTGACCCCACCTATTGTCTTACTGTTGTGTCTCATATTACCACTATTTGATGTGAAAACATATATTTTATGTGTAACACATATATTATGTGTTGGTAACAACTAGATTTGCATATTACAACTTATTTATGTATTTCTTATTTGTTTATTTATATGTTATCTAAACTGAAACCAGCTCTCTACCACTTCATCTTGTTTATTCAATGGCATCATATTTCAAATCTGATGATATGAATTTACAATAGTATTGTGTCGATACTTACACCCGGCTTCTGAAAGGCTTGTCAACACTAAAATTTACTAATCTCCTGTTAAATCTCTTGTTAAGTCATCTGATTGGTTGTTGATAATTCAGTCAACCAATCAGATGACTTGTCAAGAGATTAAATTGATTTTAACATTGATCGGCCTTTTGGAAACCGGGCATTAGACAGAAAATTTATTTCTTTTAGGTACAATACTCATACACTTACTTAACTAGTAAGAAAGATGTACATCAATTCTTAATGATATTGTTTTTTTATTGGCAGCACAATGGCCAATTACCTTCTGCGCCGTGCGCTGATCGATGCAGTCCGTGTACCAGTCTGCGCCAGGGCCTCTTCCTCCACAGTTAGCGAGCTTGCCAAGGTAAGGAATATTTATGTTAAACCGGTCAGTGGTACCGGTGAATTGTTAAAGGAAAGGAAAGGTGAAGGGTTTGTTGTAACACTGCCACACAAGTGTAACACGAGTTCAGTATTTGTGATGTCATAGATATACTTATATTCATTTTCTACAATACTACATACAGAATCTGATTGTAAAACTCATTGGAAAACTGTAACCAAATTCATTTGCTTGTTCCTCTCTATAGGAATCTATGGATCGAGCAAATAGCATCACTAGCAGTCTGACAGACAGACTGAGATTGTTTTATTTTTAAATCTTGTTTTCACATTACAAGTACCAATGATAGTGTAATTGAAACAAATTATTTGATATTTTTACTTTTTGCTGGTTATGTACTCACTATATTAAATAACTACTTTTTATGGCAGGCTAAGACACAAATAGACCTTTTGTTAGTAATTCTCAACCTATCGGTATAAAATATTTTATTATGATGATTTCAGATTGGCAACCGCGAGTGGGTAGGATATGGCTTCAACGGCCAGCCTAACTACGTGGACAGGCCTGACTTCCCCATGCCCGCCGTCAGGTTCCGTGCTGACACACCCGACATTAAGGTAAACTTCATGAATAATAAATATAAATTAAAATTACCAAGCCCAAGAATAGTAGGCAATCATTATGGGAAAATATTAAAGATGCTAAACCCTATAGAAAGCAAAAGACTTGCAAGTAAACTGAGTGTGTAACATTCCTATCACACATAACAAAGGCCCTAATGACCTTGAAGACCTGAACCAATTTCTATCAAACATCTAAAAACACTCTTAATCTAAAAATGCTTTTCAAACAAAAAAACCTCACTAAAATTGGATCATCCGTTTGATAGTTGTGTTGCCGCAGGCTGACATTCCGCCGTTTTTGCGTCGGGGTTAAAAAGAAAGTAATCAGCGCTGCTTGTGAACACTCACAATTGCCGTTTTTTGACTTTTGGAGGTCGTATTGGTTCGAAAGTACCAACCGGTTTTTAGATGTTACGGTGGATATTTGAGGAATATACTTGGAAACAAAATTTGGGACAAAAAGACCCATGACATGTCACATACAAATAGTATAGATGTAGATTTTTTTGATCTCATGCATGCATGAGAAGCGGGCGCATTAACCTCTGGGTCACCACCACCCATTATAATATTTATATGGCTGACTATAAACCTCCTTTTTCCAGGTCCTCCGTGAAAAGGAAAAGGGTGACTGGCGCAAGCTGACCCTTGAAGAGAAGAAAGCTCTTTACCGCGCCTCCTACTGCCAGACCTTCGCCGAGTTCCAGGCCCCCACTGGAGAATGGAAGGGCATCTTGGGCTGGTCCCTTGCTGTTGCTTCCCTGGCCATCTGGATCTACATGGGCATGAAGATCTTCGGTAAGACATCTTATGACCCCTCGTTTCTTTTCGTCCAATAGGAAAAAAGCTAGTATGATAAAAAATTAACAGGGTTGCCAGCTGCTCTGTTTAAACTAACTGGCGCTTTGCCAGATTAACAACAAATACGAATATAAAAAAAAAAACTGTTTGGAGAAGCCTATGCTGTTTTCATGTTGAATGGCTGCATTTTTAGTAACTGCACTTTTAACTAGGTACTTTTACTGTCATTTATTTTTATTTTTTACTGTCACTACTAGTATAACCATAGATGACAAACTACAATGGGGGCCCCATATCACATCTCTGGCAGGACGGTTGAGCTCTGCAGCATTTGCTGTCTGGAAGATCCGACAGCTAACAGATGTGGACACTGCAAGACTGGTGTACTTCAGCTACTTTCATAGCATTATGTCGTATGGCATCTTGTTGTGGGGACAGGCTGCTGACATTGAGTCTATCTTTGTCTTGCAAAAGCGTGCCATCAGAACTATTTACAATGTAAAGCGTCGTGAGTCTCTTAGAGAAAAGTTTAGAGAGATCAATATTATGACCGTGCCATGTCAGTTTATTTATGAAAACATTATGTATGTTAGGAAAAACTTAAAAATATTCGATAAGGTGTCAGATAGACATAATTATCAAACTAGACATAGAGATAGATTATGTCAGCCATTATTTAGATTGGCAAAGGTACATAAGTCGTTCATGGGATTCTGTGTTAAATGTTATAACAAAATCCCAGGCGAAATACAACAATTAAATGAAAGAAATTTTAAATTATGTGTAAAGAAAACTTTATGTAGAAAAGCATACTACACACTGAATGATTACATTGTAGATAAAGATGTTTGGAGACATGCTGGTCCTGCTCCACAGGATAGCAAACGTACACCAAAATAAATAACGTTCCAATGGATTTTGCTTGAACGGGACTTCTTCATTTTAGTGAAATTGCATTATATTGTATAACTATAACTTGATAAATTTGTAAATGTGAGTGCCCTGTAACCTATTATAATTGGTTAGACTAGCAGAATGTCGGTCCTTATAACAGCTTGGAGTTGTCATGCTCACTGAAAGGTCACACTGGCGGTGGCATGGGCGCTGGATCGCTTAATTCCCTATAATATGGTTGAGTTGGGCGATGCTGGTGTACGTGTCATGCTCGTGAACGAGCGCCGTCAGTTGGGACTGGTCAGCTCCAGACTGTCTATTGTCCTTAAGGTTACTTTATTTTTATATTTGAATAAATATTAGTGTTACACTGTTCTCACATAATTGAACCAACTGTTTGTAAAAGGAATCTGTATGTGAAACTGATTTAAAAAGAGTAACCATGGAGTTTCTTGCTCGTTCTTCTCCATCGGAATCTACACTTTGGAACGAGCAAATAGCTTCACTAATGCCCGGTTCCTATATTTAACGAATCGTCGTTGTATACGCATTACGACCAAATGACATTACGAATAGTTATCTTGACCGTCTACTGACGGTTAAAATATTTATAGGAACACACAGACACCATAGATCTCCATACAATTCGCTTACCGATATCCGTTAGTTGCAAACCGTCAGTAAGTTGCACGACGAGACGTTTGTTATAGGAACGGTTTTAGCTTACGAGTCGTATATAAAACTACTATTCGTAACAAGGCTCGGATACCGGTTAAATTTTCTAACCGTTATTATGTACTTGACGCAAAACCTTTACATTTTGGTTTCGTTCTTATATACCGGTTTTTTTAAACCGTTATTTGGAAGAGCATTAATATAAAGGTTTTTTCGAATTAAACGGTTAAGAGCAATAAAAACCGGTTAATATGGACGCACTATAAAGAAATGCCGCGTACTGTTTAGATTTTATTCAATAGTAAGATTTTTTTGTTTCGGATCGGACGTTTGTGTCATTTTATCAATAAGCTCCGCAGCATAAACATTAAAAAATGAGTAAGTATCTAATTTTTTTTTCGTGAAGTTAAGCTGATAATGACCAAACTAATCGGTAAACAAAATATTTCGAATGAAAAGAAATATCGCTAGTACCTACGTCTTCATACCTCGCCGCTATGCGCGGCAGCGCGGTATTCGTACAAGTTGCAACGCGTTTAGCGACGTCGTACGTCTATAAACCGGTTTATTTAGATTAAAATAAAGTTCTTAAAACGTTTACGTTCTTAAGAAAAGTTCGGAGATAAACCGAAATAAACCGGTATTAACCGGTATTTTTTAAACCGGTTCCGAGCCTTGATTCGTAACTAAAACGGATCGTTTCTCAATTATAGGAACCGGGCATAAGAGGACTGACCGACAGACTGACACTATTTTTTTATTTTAAATTTTGTTTGACGTTCAAAAGTGCCTGTAAAGGTCTAATTGGAATAAATGATTTTTGACTTTTTTGACTTTTGAGTAGTTGTCGTGTTTGATTATTCTGTTTCAACTGTTGCAACTGCTGTTTAAAGGGCCTCAATTTCGATTCCTGGATTAGAAAAAGTATTGTGTTGTAATAAGAATCATTTTATACAATGAATATACAAAACTTGTCAAAAAGCTTTATCGGACACAGAAGCTATGAGCACCACCAAGCTTGCTTGTATTTTTCAGTGTTTGCCACTAGTGTCAAATAAACTTAGAAAGTACATATAAGTGGGAAAAGTCACACTGTTACTTGTCAGGTTTGCAATCCTTGATTAAGGGGGGAAATTCAGCGAATGAATTCTTTCGCACGGGAAATATCGTCGAATGACTTCTCTTATCTCCAAGAGTGGGACGAGAAGGGGTATCAAACTTTTACTGAAGAAAAACCACTCCATTCCTTCTTCATTAGGGCTCCCTTATCCTCCGGATCACCACAACCCCATAAACCATAATAGGAAAGGTTTCTCCACTCTGCAATAAAAAAAAATTCTATGTTGCCGCAGTGTACAGTCCTCTGCCTGAATCCCTGAGCGAGGAGAACCAGAAGGCACAGCTGAGACGTATGCTGGACCTCAAGGTCAACCCCGTGGACGGTCTCGCCTCCAAGTGGGACTACGAGAACAACCGCTGGAAGTAAATTTAGCTATGGTATGTATTTACAGTTCAATTTTAAATATATCACTGTAGTTATCAGATACTAAAAGATACAGAAATTGAAACAATGAATTTATTTTTGCAAATAGGCCATAAGACGGCACTTTTACACGTCAATTTATATGTGAAAGACTAAATGAAGCCGGCATTTTCTATCTGACTACTCTGAGAAGAAATGCCGAAACAGACTCAAAATGTATCGTGGGTATGTTTACATGCATAAAAACGTCACACCCAGACCCGGAAAAACAATTTGTGGATCACACAAAGAGTGCGCGATCCGTGTCGCGAGTTCGATTCGGTGACACGTTCGAACTCACGGCACGTTGCGCGGCAACCAGTTTCCCAGCCACCGCGCGAGCCGTGCATCCAATTTGTTATGCAGTTCCACTCGATAGCTGTTTTAGTTGTAGAATTATTTTAATTTTGTCATTCTGCATATGGGCCTTGTGACAGTGTCTTTCTGTCCCTATTTATTTTTCTTGGGCAAGTGAAATAAATGCATTTTAAGTTACATTACAAAAAGACCTCCCTAATTCATCCTTTTATTGGAATTTGTTACTATAATGTTTGTGTTTATCGACAGGTGGCAGAAGGGTGCTATGCCTGTAGAACGCTGTTACTCCGGGCTAGATTAGAAACAAATGTACTATAAGTGATAATATCTGTGTAAGATAAAAAATAAATCGCAATTCCACACGATTGCTGACTTTTCTTTAACATTTTTCATTTATTTCATTCCGTTATACACTAGATATATTATCATGTCATCTGAGCGAGGCCATCTATAAATTACGTCATGTTGGAAAATTTTCACCCCTCCTACCGTCCTTGTCACATCAATTGGGTAGTTACCTAGGTCAAAAATAAATTAATTCGACGTTTTAATACGATAAAATATTGAAAAATAACTATACTTTTATTCACCGATCGATCGATACACTAAGTTTTAGATATTTTTTAGCTATTTTTTTTAAAAATAAGTAAGCTATTTGACGCTAAAATGCTATGACGTCATAATTCAATGTTTCATACAAATTTCATAGAAAAGTATCGTTTTTGACATTTGGATAAAAGTATTGAATTTGACTAGTTGGAAACAACCGTATTAGCGCCGCCCATGGACACACGCAACGACAGGATTACGATTGCGTTGCCGACCTTTTTGGGGATAAGTATTGGGCTTCCGTTTACCTCATTCACACGGCAAAACACAACGCTGTAGTGGTTTCACGCCGGTTTTGTGTTGGACCGTGGTATTAATCCGGTCGGACCGACCAATTCGTGCCGAAGCATGGCTCTCCCACATTCAAAATGTGACACGTTTAAAAAAGTTCTCAAATTACTTCTGTGGTACTAGGGCCTAACTTGTAAGTAATAGATTAGGCATTTTACCGTAACGGTTTTAGAAAGATTAGTATTACTATTTTATAGTTAACAAAATACTTACTCTAACAAAACTTTGGTAAAAGAGTATATTTATTATTGCGAGAGAAGTATTTTCTTCTAAGTACACCAATGCCCAGGGCCGCGCCGACCCCCGGCAGCGCCTGTGTGCGTAACCTATGAAGCGCCTCTTTTTTAACGCGCCTCTTTTTTTTTGATAACTTGGTTTTATTCATGGTTTGTGGCTAAATTGTAGGAGACTTATGTTCATACTTAGTACAATTATGTTCATTACAACGTTAATAAAATACATAACAGACACCAAGAAGAAAACACAAGAAATAGATACGACAACAAAAATAAAGATAATACGCCTCAAAAATAGTATTGAGAAATTAAGGGCAAAATACAAAAAACAAAAATACACTAGTGCAGTGTGCTAGAAGCCCATTTCAACAAATAAATTATTTTTAAGTTTAATTGAAAAGTTGCCAGAAAGCTCACGTCAGTTTTATCCTTTACAAATTAAAGGTGTAAAAAATAAAAAAACCAAAAGGCAGAATATCTTCGAAAAGGACAAAGTTGTGGCTTTGACTAAATAGCAAATCCCAAAAGCTTATAGGTTTTTGCAAAATATGTTTGTTTTGCCTTCAAAACGAGCAATCCAAAGAATGCTTAGTTCAGTCGCAATTATTGTTCCAGGTATAAATAAAATAATCATAGACAATTTACGAAATACCTTAGAAAATGAGATGAATGCGGCAAAAAAGCACAAAACATGTTCAAAAAATAATTCACCGCTCATACAACTGTGGAATAATTTACTGCCTGTATTAGAATCAATAAATTTTTAATCAATTGAAAATAATAATCAAGGAAATGAAGTGGATCAATAATATTAGAATTTTTAAAGAATTTTGGGTTGATTTGAATAATAATCACAATGTGCTTAGTTTATTGAGAAGAAATTTTAATCAAGATCCGTTAGAATTTTTTTCAGTGGTATTAGAAGCAATGGAATTAGAAATAACAATCCATCATGTAATCAATTTATAAATTCCTATAAGACTTTGATTATAAATAATTTTAATTCAACGCATTCACCAAATTTGAACTGTAAAAAGGATAACAATGGTTTATTTAAATCTTTATTCATCATTTAATAAATACCTATACACCTGTGATTTCTTCAAATGTTGATTTTGCATGTGAAGTTGATTCGTTGGTTACAGTGATCGGTAACATTAAAAGTACCTAATTATGATAATGAAGTGCATGCTGGAGCAAAAAAATATGTAACTGGATATACATTCAGTCAACAAAGTATCGGGAATGAATGTTTTTTTATGGTTCCAAATTCGAATTTTAATTTTTTTTGTTCGTGTTCGATTGGCATAACTGTTTTCCATTTTGGCGCGGAATTTGAGTTGCATCTGTTATTTATATTAAAAACAGTGCTGTTTTTAGTTTTATAATATCTAGTGTGTATTGCGAATTTCATAATGGACAAAAACATCGAACAAAGAGTTTGTCTTAAATTTTGCATCGCCAATGAAATTTCGTGTTCGGAGGCTCTCAAAATGTTACAGAAGGCTTACGGTGAATCGACTTTATCAAAAACACGTGCTTATGAGTGGTACAAAGCGTTCAAAAGCGGTCGAGATGTATGAAACGTGTTGCCGCTCGGCTAGTCCCAAAAGACCTGAATTTTCTTCAAAAACTAAATCGCATGAAAGTCGCTGAGGACATGCTAGAACGAGTCAATACCGACTCAACATTCATGAAACGCATTGTTACTGGTGACGAGACGTGGGTTTACGAGTTTGACATGCAAGCTAGTCAACAAGCTTCGGAATGGCGCCTTCCAACTGAACCAAAACCGAAAAAACCACGTCAAAGTCGATCAAAAGTCAAAGTCGTGTTGACTGTTTTCTTTGACTATCGCGGTGTTGTGCACTCAGAATTCTTGCCCGAATGTCAAACGGTAAATAAAAAATATTATTTGAGGGTTATGCGGCGTTTAAGAGAACAAATTCGACGAAAAAGTTCAGAAATGTGGAAAGAAAATTCTTGGATTTTGCATCACGATAATGCGCCTTCGCACAAGGCCATCATTGTAAACGATTTTTTGTCCAAACACTCAACAAACACCATCGAGCAGCCACCATATTCACCAGATATGGCTCCAGCCGACTTCTTTCTTTTTCCCACACTCAAATTACCCCTTCGTGGCACCCGTTTTCAATCGTTAGAAGACATAAAGGAGAATTCGCGTCGAGCACTGAACTCAATTCCGGAAACAGCGTTTAAAAAAAGTTTCGATGATTGGATTATTCGTTGGCGTAAGTGTATCGTTTCCGAAGGAGCATACTTTGAAGGTGATAAAATAAATTTAGATGAATAACAAACATTTTGTGTATTAATGACTTTTTCCCGGTACTTTCTTGACAGAGTAGTAGGTAACAAAAATAATTTAGGTGGCAGTGCCGGCGCGGCGCCCCTATTGTCTTGGCGCCTGTGTGCGCCGCACACTTCGCACACAGGGGCGGCGCGGCCCTGCCAATGCCGTCATCCAGCTGTCTTTGGCAGTAACTCGTTGTATTTTAATTATAAAGTACGTTAGGAGGTAAATCAAACCACAGTTTCGGAACAAATTTTCTCTATTTTTTTTTATAAAAACAACTTTTTCAACATAAACAATGCATCCATCTGAGCATATACATACGACACATTTATATATCACGACTAATGTGATTCTCTGCTATCGGGGACACAGCGCGGATAACTACGTGCATCCTTTTACTAGCACATAGGTACGTTGCTTTCTTACGTAGCAATTTTACACAAACTGATATTTTGATAATGTTGATATACAGAATCTAAATTTCGAACTTGTTTGACAGTTCGATATCATTCTGTGTTCTGAATTTAAAATGACATTTCATACAAGCGCGGGTCTGCGGGTAGCAAGCAAGGGTAGCTCAATGCCCGACCACAGTAGTAGATCGTACGGCGTGTAGTGTTTAGCGCGCGCTTCAAAGTGCCATTACACCACTACAGACCTAACTGGCAACTGGACTGATGTTCAGCCAGGGCAGTGGCTTCGGCCTAGAGCAGGAGAAGGAACGGGTGGTTTTTAGTCACTCTCTCCTTCATACAGATATACAATATAATGAGTTCTCTCGCCCCATGTCATTCGTCATTCCATGATTCCTAATTTCAAGCCAACGAACGCTAGGTATAGTTGAACGGTGTGGCAGATCTATCTACGTAAATCAGATCAGAATTTTAATTTGTGTAAAACTGACACGTGAGTTGCAAAACATTTAAATTTTGTATTACATTTTAAAGTTACAAGTGTAATAAATTAATAATGAACTGTTGACAAACCGTATTGGTTTTAGATATTAGCAATAGGTATGTAATTTTAATCCTTTTCACTTAAAATTTCTTACATTGTAACTTTAAAATATAGAACATAATTATTTTGTCATATTTAGATATTTTTCCCATTCGTTACAAAAATACTGTTGGACAAAACGTAGGAATAACCCTACATTTTTAACTAGGTACTGTTTCCCGCCAAAATGTTTGTTTACACAATTCAAATTTAATAAATTCCAATCAATCGTTACATACAGTAATAATTATAATATAAATTATTTAAAAACACCTATCACATCCTTATAATTTAAGTCTCAACATCAAATTGTATTTATTATAAATATTTTTAATTTTAACAAATTCATATTTTTAAACCTATACATTTATAAAATGAACATATTCAATTTGTTGGTTTTGAAAGTAAATTTATAGTTTTAAAGTATGGAAGGAAGGCGAAGAGGTGTTTGAATGCCAAATAGCTAATATAAGAGTTAAAATATATAATCTGTGCAAATATAACGGAAGTTGTGTAATGAGGTAGGTAATGACACGAAAGTAAGCTACTGGCATTCGGATAGATAAGATTTTTGTATTTATCATATGCAGTACAATGTACCTACAAATATAATTAAGGACTACGTCCTTTAGATATATGCTTTTCTTTTGTGGTCACTTTTCTAAATCTACAACAAGGTTAATGCTGTGTGGGATATCCTTTACTTACACCTTTAGTATTTATTCTACAATTTTTTATTGTACTACATATGAATTAAGGCCTAAAGACAGATAACGTGGAAAGAGATCGAGACATTGTGCCCAAATTATACAGATACATAGATTTTTGCCTAAGTGACTAGATTTTACGACTAGAATAGTCAAAACTAAATATCTCATTTAGACTTTAATGTGCCTAAATATACTTTTAAAGCTACTCTTCTGACATTGAAAGCGACATAGAAATATATAGATTAGATAAAAGTTGATACATTATACACTAAAATAAGTTATATTCTCCTTATAGTAATCATAAGAAAATTTTCAGAGACAATTTTTTATCTCTTTTTATATTTTGTTTGTGGACAATTTTGAACACGGAGAGAAGTAGTTACCGAAACAAATTGTGGCATTCTACGGAATGTAATTATTATTTAAATTGATCTAAAACAAATCATGGGTAATAAGAATTTTAGAGTAATTTTTGTACGAAATTGCCCACAAACTGTCCATAATAATATTTTTATTTAAAATTAATACGACATAATATTCCTAACACACCAACGATCGTAAACATTTATTGTTTTTTTTTATTTTATCTAGTTAGCGACGTATTAGGCTTATACATTTTTTTTATTTTTATAACTGCACAAATACAGTTATGAACCGTTACTGAAACATTTTATGTATTTTAAAAACCATGTTTTCGGTACATGCATTTTTTTTATTAACCGGTGAACTGTATGTGAATGACATGTTTTCCGGCAAGATAATTGTGCCACGGCTTGAAGTGTAGCTACTAATTATATTAATGATTTATTGATCAATATGATAATTGATATTTGATAATCTCCAGTCACTGATCAAAGAACTTGTGAAACTGATTGGACTTAGGAGTTTACAACTAGCGCCATCTCGTAGGTGCAATGTAAAAAACGCTGGAGGAAGCGATATCGCAAACCTGAATGCCATTTTGTTACAGTATATAGTTTGTTACGTTTAATTTAATGCACATTTTTTGAGATCAAAACATGGCTTTAGTATTTTTTATTTTAATTATTGTAAGAAATGAAACTGACGACATTTTAATTTGTCTAGCTAAAATATAGACGCGTGTTTCAAAATGGATTCGTAATTTAATCAAAATAATTCATCTATACTTACACGCGTTTTTTAATTTTTAGTTATTAATTCTCAAACCATGGAAGTACTTTTTTGGCATTTTATAATAATTATCATACTTTTGCCAAATCGCAATCAAAATATGTATATTTTAGACATTTTTCGTCACTATATAATTTACTCAAATTAAAACTATTTTACTTTTCATACTCTGTACACTTACGCCATCTGTTGAGCGACAGCAATATTTCAACTCTCTATTCACAATAAATTGTTTTAGATTTTTTAGAATAAAGTATTGCGTTTTGTTTTTGGCGGAAGAATTTTTTGTACATACATATTTTTTTATAAGTAAATCTTTAATTTGTGTTGTTAGCTACATCATTAATAATTCCAATTCGTCACGCGCACATAATAATCCTTAAATCCAATAAGGTGTTTGAACCTTAGATTGGTCATTACTTATCAAGTGCACATCATTTAATAGATAGTTTAACACAAAGCTGGTTTAAGATAGGCGTAAAAATTGATTCGATGCCACATATCTCCATTTAATTTATCAGGGAACAAATAATAGCTTTAAAAATCTTCCGCCGTCAATCTGAACATCGATTCATGGTATCGACCCTTGTTGAATACTTCTCAATTATCTAAGGGGAGGCTTCGCCTGTCCCCTGGTCGTAAGACTAGTCCCTGAACGGAAAGAGACCGCCTACACCGCCCGTGTCCCAGTCTGCCACCTCGACAGGGCCGAAACATTCATCGAAAAACTGCTCCATCGTTTTGTGAAGATGTATCGTGGAGCGCTCGAAGCCATGACCTTCGTCTGGATAAACCTGAAATATAATATGTTTATAAGAAACTGAAGATATAGGTACTTGAATTACAGAAATCCAACAATCCTTCCCCGCCCCCAATGCCTCCTCAATCCCTAAATCTTAAATCCCTAATCCCTAAAAGGTCGGCAACGCACTCGTAACTCCTCCGTTGCGAGTGTCCATGGGCGGCGCTGATTGCTTACCATCAGGTAATCCGTGTGCTCGTTTGCCGACCTATTACATAAAAAAAAATCGTGATTGCAAATACTAATTGTTGATGAGAACTCTCTCAGATATAACTTTTGTAAGATGCAAGATCCCGATTCAAAGCTGCAATGGGTGAATTTGTTGTTATAGAAGTGAATTTGATAAAAATGGTTCTTTGAATCAAGTAGGTACCTACATTGGTGTGTGGATATGATAGAAGATTAGATATCAATGGTTATTTTCGATATAGACTAGCCAATTATGCAGAAGATATACCAAGATACAATCTTTCCTGACTATCACGACTCGAAGTAACACTAATTAGATATATTAGTGTGTAGAAGCATGCGTGTACCTGGTGCGTGTAGAGCGCGGTGGCGCGTATGAGTGCGCGCGCGAGTGCGAGCGCGTGGTGCGGCGCTAGAAGCATGCGTGTACCTGGTGCGTGTAGAGCGCGGTGGCGCGTATGAGTGCGCGCGCGAGTGCGAGCGCGTGGTGCGGCGCTAGAAGCATGCGTGTACCTGGTGCGTGTAGAGCGCGGTGGCGCGTATGAGTGCGCGCGCGAGTGCGAGCGCGTGGTGCGGCGCTAGAAGCATGCGTGTACCTGGTGCGTGTAGAGCGCGGTGGCGCGTATGAGTGCGCGCGCGAGTGCGAGCGCGTGGTGCGGCGCTAGAAGCATGCGTGTACCTGGTGCGTGTAGAGCGCGGTGGCGCGTATGAGTGCGCGCGCGAGTGCGAGCGCGTGGTGCGGCGCTAGAAGCATGCGTGTACCTGGTGCGTGTAGAGCGCGGTGGCGCGTATGAGTGCGCGCGCGAGTGCGAGCGCGTGGTGCGGCGCTAGAAGCATGCGTGTACCTGGTGCGTGTAGAGCGCGGTGGCGCGTATGAGTGCGCGCGCGAGTGCGAGCGCGTGGTGCGGCGCTAGAAGCATGCGTGTACCTGGTGCGTGTAGAGCGCGGTGGCGCGTATGAGTGCGCGCGCGAGTGCGAGCGCGTGGTGCGGCGCTAGAAGCATGCGTGTACCTGGTGCGTGTAGAGCGCGGTGGCGCGTATGAGTGCGCGCGCGAGTGCGAGCGCGTGGTGCGGCGCTAGAAGCATGCGTGTACCTGGTGCGTGTAGAGCGCGGTGGCGCGTATGAGTGCGCGCGCGAGTGCGAGCGCGTGGTGCGGCGCTAGAAGCATGCGTGTACCTGGTGCGTGTAGAGCGCGGTGGCGCGTATGAGTGCGCGCGCGAGTGCGAGCGCGTGGTGCGGCGCTAGAAGCATGCGTGTACCTGGTGCGTGTAGAGCGCGGTGGCGCGTATGAGTGCGCGCGCGAGTGCGAGCGCGTGGTGCGGCGCTAGAAGCATGCGTGTACCTGGTGCGTGTAGAGCGCGGTGGCGCGTATGAGTGCGCGCGCGAGTGCGAGCGCGTGGTGCGGCGCTAGAAGCATGCGTGTACCTGGTGCGTGTAGAGCGCGGTGGCGCGTATGAGTGCGCGCGCGAGTGCGAGCGCGTGGTGCGGCGCTAGAAGCATGCGTGTACCTGGTGCGTGTAGAGCGCGGTGGCGCGTATGAGTGCGCGCGCGAGTGCGAGCGCGTGGTGCGGCGCTAGAAGCATGCGTGTACCTGGTGCGTGTAGAGCGCGGTGGCGCGTATGAGTGCGCGCGCGAGTGCGAGCGCGTGGTGCGGCGCTAGAAGCATGCGTGTACCTGGTGCGTGTAGAGCGCGGTGGCGCGTATGAGTGCGCGCGCGAGTGCGAGCGCGTGGTGCGGCGCTAGAAGCATGCGTGTACCTGGTGCGTGTAGAGCGCGGTGGCGCGTATGAGTGCGCGCGCGAGTGCGAGCGCGTGGTGCGGCGCTAGAAGCATGCGTGTACCTGGTGCGTGTAGAGCGCGGTGGCGCGTATGAGTGCGCGCGCGAGTGCGAGCGCGTGGTGCGGCGCTAGAAGCATGCGTGTACCTGGTGCGTGTAGAGCGCGGTGGCGCGTATGAGTGCGCGCGCGAGTGCGAGCGCGTGGTGCGGCGCTAGAAGCATGCGTGTACCTGGTGCGTGTAGAGCGCGGTGGCGCGTATGAGTGCGCGCGCGAGTGCGAGCGCGTGGTGCGGCGCTAGAAGCATGCGTGTACCTGGTGCGTGTAGAGCGCGGTGGCGCGTATGAGTGCGCGCGCGAGTGCGAGCGCGTGGTGCGGCGCTAGAAGCATGCGTGTACCTGGTGCGTGTAGAGCGCGGTGGCGCGTATGAGTGCGCGCGCGAGTGCGAGCGCGTGGTGCGGCGCTAGAAGCATGCGTGTACCTGGTGCGTGTAGAGCGCGGTGGCGCGTATGAGTGCGCGCGCGAGTGCGAGCGCGTGGTGCGGCGCTAGAAGCATGCGTGTACCTGGTGCGTGTAGAGCGCGGTGGCGCGTATGAGTGCGCGCGCGAGTGCGAGCGCGTGGTGCGGCGCTAGAAGCATGCGTGTACCTGGTGCGTGTAGAGCGCGGTGGCGCGTATGAGTGCGCGCGCGAGTGCGAGCGCGTGGTGCGGCGCTAGAAGCATGCGTGTACCTGGTGCGTGTAGAGCGCGGTGGCGCGTATGAGTGCGCGCGCGAGTGCGAGCGCGTGGTGCGGCGCTAGAAGCATGCGTGTACCTGGTGCGTGTAGAGCGCGGTGGCGCGTATGAGTGCGCGCGCGAGTGCGAGCGCGTGGTGCGGCGCTAGAAGCATGCGTGTACCTGGTGCGTGTAGAGCGCGGTGGCGCGTATGAGTGCGCGCGCGAGTGCGAGCGCGTGGTGCGGCGCTAGAAGCATGCGTGTACCTGGTGCGTGTAGAGCGCGGTGGCGCGTATGAGTGCGCGCGCGAGTGCGAGCGCGTGGTGCGGCGCTAGAAGCATGCGTGTACCTGGTGCGTGTAGAGCGCGGTGGCGCGTATGAGTGCGCGCGCGAGTGCGAGCGCGTGGTGCGGCGCTAGAAGCATGCGTGTACCTGGTGCGTGTAGAGCGCGGTGGCGCGTATGAGTGCGCGCGCGAGTGCGAGCGCGTGGTGCGGCGCTAGAAGCATGCGTGTACCTGGTGCGTGTAGAGCGCGGTGGCGCGTATGAGTGCGCGCGCGAGTGCGAGCGCGTGGTGCGGCGCTAGAAGCATGCGTGTACCTGGTGCGTGTAGAGCGCGGTGGCGCGTATGAGTGCGCGCGCGAGTGCGAGCGCGTGGTGCGGCGCTAGAAGCATGCGTGTACCTGGTGCGTGTAGAGCGCGGTGGCGCGTATGAGTGCGCGCGCGAGTGCGAGCGCGTGGTGCGGCGCTAGAAGCATGCGTGTACCTGGTGCGTGTAGAGCGCGGTGGCGCGTATGAGTGCGCGCGCGAGTGCGAGCGCGTGGTGCGGCGCTAGAAGCATGCGTGTACCTGGTGCGTGTAGAGCGCGGTGGCGCGTATGAGTGCGCGCGCGAGTGCGAGCGCGTGGTGCGGCGCTAGAAGCATGCGTGTACCTGGTGCGTGTAGAGCGCGGTGGCGCGTATGAGTGCGCGCGCGAGTGCGAGCGCGTGGTGCGGCGCTAGAAGCATGCGTGTACCTGGTGCGTGTAGAGCGCGGTGGCGCGTATGAGTGCGCGCGCGAGTGCGAGCGCGTGGTGCGGCGCTAGAAGCATGCGTGTACCTGGTGCGTGTAGAGCGCGGTGGCGCGTATGAGTGCGCGCGCGAGTGCGAGCGCGTGGTGCGGCGCTAGAAGCATGCGTGTACCTGGTGCGTGTAGAGCGCGGTGGCGCGTATGAGTGCGCGCGCGAGTGCGAGCGCGTGGTGCGGCGCTAGAAGCATGCGTGTACCTGGTGCGTGTAGAGCGCGGTGGCGCGTATGAGTGCGCGCGCGAGTGCGAGCGCGTGGTGCGGCGCTAGAAGCATGCGTGTACCTGGTGCGTGTAGAGCGCGGTGGCGCGTATGAGTGCGCGCGCGAGTGCGAGCGCGTGGTGCGGCGGCGCGCGCAGGTCGGCGGCTGCGTGGGCCAGCAGCACGCGGCGCGGCGGGAGGTTGCCCGCCTTGCGCCACACCGCGTTCACGCCCAGCGTGCCCGCCCACGTCGACCCAAACCCGCTGTACCGCTCCGTCCAGTACGAGTCTGCATACAGCAATACATTACGCCATTTGTTCAAGTCTAAGTTTCCGCTTACGTAGATCACCGGTAATAAAGAAATGTAGAGAGAGACGCTGTCGAGCTCAAATTAGATGTGTTACCCGTAACTTGGCTGGCAATGGTAAGATACAAAGAGCTGAAAATCGGCCTCGATAGCATAGTATAGAAGCAAAATATGATGGACTCACTATGATGCCTGAGATCGGTGAGTGGAGCGATGGCGGCGAGGCAGCGCGTGACGTTGCGCGCGTCGTCAGCAGCGAGCGCGGCCGCCGCGCCTCCACCGTAGCCGCGCCCCCACACGCCGACGCGGGCTCCATCCACCATCTTGAGGTTGTCGCGAAGGTACCTGCACCAAACGTCGGATTCCAAGAAAATTCACGATTAGCACACATTTTGCATTGTATAGTTTGTGTGACATCTATGTTATGAGCGTCTGACTGAAGAGTGTCAAATTTAACATATGTAAGTATATTTAGTCAAATTTTTCCGATCCTTTTTTAATACTTACGCCAGAACTGCTATTTGATCTTCGACATCAACCGACAAAAGTTTGTGATATATTTCTGTTCGGAGCTCCTCGCCCTAAAACAATGATAAATTCGTCAATAAAATGGTATATTGACTTTACATTTTTTCGTAACAAAGCTATATAAAAAAGTTTAGATCTTAAGTAAAGAAATGACAATGTTATAGTGACCTGTCCGCCGGAGCCTCTAGCATCGATCTCAGCGACTATGAAGTTCCTCGCGGCTGCTAGGTACCAGCCCCAGCTTGGTTTCCACCGCTCCGTCACCAACTGTCCACCGGGCTGGGCAGATCTGGTAAATAATTTTTTTTATTTTAGGTACTCAAAAACAAAAAGTAAATAATGGTTATTTTCATCTTCTTGAGCACTTTACACCGTTTTGGAGAATCAGATGCAAAATACGTTTTTAATAAATAATGTTCCTAATTTATACAAGAGTTGAAAATGTTTGGGATTATATTGTAGGCAAAATGATATAGTATAAGTTAAATAACATATTATAGTAGGTATATAACTTACACATGCAAAACTAATGGAAGAGGTAGATCATCAGTTTCTCTGAACCCTGGCGGTAATAGGAGGCGAACACGAGCTGCTCTGTAGGCTTGCACCTGAAAAGTAATTCAATATAGAATATAAAAATAGTGAAAACGACAGAAAAATTTGTGAATAAACGATGGGTAAAGGAAGGATATATTGAATGGCTTTGAGTGTTTGTTTGTTGTTATTTTTTTCAAAGGTACAGTAAAAATATTGTAAGATGTCGATGTATATTTACCTCGACCCTGAAGTCCTTGACCTGTGGGTGTGCGAGGGCCGCGAACTTGTTGGACAGCGGGCGGCCGTCCCACAGCACGGCGCGCCGCGCGCCCCAGTGCGAGCAAACAAACGTTGCTGGGGGACCCGGGCCGAGGCACTCCTGGAGAAAACAATACTGCATTAAGACTTTTGTACTGTTAAAGTTTACAGTTCTATACCAATATCAATCGACCAGTACCAAGTATTAATAGATTACTGTTTTACCTAGTAGTAATTACTGTAATATTGGTATGGAAAGTTTAAAAAAAAGACTTAACTTTAAAAATTTAAGGAATATTTCTTATTTTTCCAAAGTGTTAAAACGATCGATGTGTAGTTTACGTATTAGGCTGCTGCAAAAGCTTTGTAGTCATACCTACTGTGGTATTTTTTTCATAAACAATCATTATCAGATCATGCTAAGCCTGCCATCTAGTGTTTTATTGTCAAAACTATGTTTAAAACTATTTGGCGATAGATGGCACTATGGAAACATATAACAAGAAATAATTAGTTTACCTGCACATAATAAGAATAGTTCTTGCTAAACAGGATGCGGTTGTACAGGCAGTCGGTGGGCAACGTATCATTTTCGTCAGCAATGTGTGGCAGCACTGTCGACGTTGGCCACGCGGGTAGTGATGACGTGGCGTTCTCAAATTCCTGATAAAGAATAAAAGTTCTTTTTTAGTTTTAAATTGATATTTAGTATTCGCGGCTGTAGCTAATTACGGAGATTTGCTTCAATCGGACTGTTACTGGCTAAAAACCATTCTGGTCTTTCTCCTGCCCTTTGGAGTTGAGCGGCCGCGGTACAATAAGCACTTGAACTGGTTGGGAAAATTGATAGAACTTCTATCTATCAATTTCACGTATAAGGCTTGCATACAAGTGGTATGCATTTTGAAAATTACTATAAAGTGCAGAAGATAGAAATGGGGTCATACAGAAGAGAAAGATGATATCATGTTCACTTACTGGATCTTCACTAACAGGTTCCATAGTAGCATCAGGAGGTAGTAGATCAGTGCCAGGACACGTGAGACAGGTTGGCGAGTCAGGCCAGCTGGCTGGGTCAGTGGGCACCTTCACTCTGTACAGGTGACGCTCACCGGCCTTTTCTGGAGCTGTGCCTATCACGTATCTGTTTGAAAAAATATGTTTTGATGTAGAAATCATGCATCATGACTTAACCTAACTCTTTGGAGCATTTGCCGCATAGGTACTCGTGATAATATGGATATTTAATCTACAGTTTGTTATCATGGATCTTAATTTGTGGTAAAGGAAAGAAGTACTGAAAATACTTTTAGAATTTTTCGTTGACAAAAAATTGATTGAGATTCATTGAACAGATCTATATTGACATTCTGAATATAAACTAAATGCCGACTACAACCTAGTCGAAAAAAAGGCCAAGAAATAAAGGGTGAAAATGAATGTGTAACCAACTATCCACTTACAAATATCTTCTCCGTTCATCCCACCCCATGAGTTGTGTTATCTCATAACTTCCTAAAGTGAGTGTTGTTCTGGAGTCCTGTGTGAGCCTGACCGCATGTCTCCACCAGCCACCAGCGCCACCTGGCGGCAGGTCCGCGACTGGCATGGTGGTGTAGATGGTAGACTTTGACCCCACGAGAGCCATGCTTCCACACCAACCACAGTCATCTTCTACTGGCTCTGAGCCGAGGCCTGACCAGCGGGAGCCGTCGGATTCATCGCGGTATATCTGGAAAATACCAGAAAAGATGACAAGTGGTACATGAATAAGAACATTCCTCGCTCAAAAAGAAAAATAGCGCAGACAAAAATTTCTGTGGGGTTTGTTTTTCATCAAAAACTAAGCGGGAGCGGGCCAGCATTAAACCTGGACTGGGTCTTGTGCTTTTTTACTGGTTAAAATTATTAAAAAAGACCATAAACACCAGGAAAAGTAAGGGCAGGCCTCTTTCGTCCTTAGTAGAAGACCTACATCTTGGCAGTTGTAGTGCACGGCACTGCAGACGCTGATGAGGGAGACGTTCTGCGGCCTGTTCAGCAGCAGCACTGCTAGCTGCTTCTCCGATGTCCAGCCAGTCCATCTCACGTACCAACCTGATAAGATACGAAGGTTTTTATAGTTACACGCTTATAAAATAGCACATGACTTTTAACTGCTATTTGATCGGAGGATTTGATGCTTTCCTATACAAAAAAGAACCAATATTTATTTTTCTGTTTTGCAAAATAAATGTAAATGTAAATATATATATATATATATCACTATATAGTATAAAACAAAGTCGCTTACTCTGTCCGTGTAACCCTATGTATGCTTAAATCTTTAAAACTGCGCAACTTTTCTTGATCGACAAAGTGATTGAATAGGAAGGTTTTAATGTATAATAACTATCTAAAATAAACTATTAGAATTGCACTCTTACGAATCCGGGGCGGGTCGCTAGTGGTCATATAATTGTATAAAGAGACAATAAAATATTTATTTACTTACTATCATCCACCTGCGAGGTGAACTGTATGGCGTGTGAGAACAAGTACTTCGGTGTCTTCACGCTAACTACGTTCACTGTCACGACCGGGTTATTTGTGTTCACCTGTTGAAGATTAGGGTCCAATTTTATGGCCAATTTTGATCATGTAAAGCTTTTATATACAATGCAAATGAACTATGAATTTTGTATAAGCTGGATGTTAACCAACCAATCAAACAAATCATTTTTTTTGTACGGAGAATAACTGAAGAGAGAGAATAGATTTTGGGTATTTGAGAATTGGGGAGGGATTGTGGCAGGGAAAGGACTAGGCCTCCAGTATCACTCACACGGCATAACAAAACGCTGTGGTTCTTTCACGCCAGTTTTATGTGAGACCGTGCTTTCAATCCGGTGCCTTGAGATTGGTTGGTTAAATTAGAACGAGCCAATCACAGCGTTAAACGTCACACACGTGTCGACTGCTTTAGCGTTAGGAAGCATTCTTGACACATCCAAAAAGTCAGATAACGACGATAAAGGAATAAATGGACATACACAACATTAATTTACAGGCTTTAAAAGAAACTTACCTTAGGATATCTCAAGGCCTTTATGGTAGGATACGCCGGTGGTTCCTGCTGGTCCAGACCATACCAGGGGTACTTGTGTGATTGGACTAGTGTGTCATTGTACGTGATGTACATGAGAGTCTGGCCATCAGGACTGAACCATAGCGCCTTGTCCAGACGCAGCACCTCTGTCTCGTATAGGAAGTCTGGCACGCCGTTGAATATCACGCCAGGTATTCCTGAAATCAAAAGGGTTTTCGTGGGAGGTGTAACTTAATGTATGTCAGTGTATCTCCACATATCCAAGGTGGCAAACGAGTTAAGGAAAGCCTGATGGTAAGCACTGTGTGGTGTCGTCTGTGCATACTCGTAACACCAAAGTCGTTACAAGCGCAATTCTATAATTTTGGAGGTTGTTACTTTCTTTTGCTTCTGATAGGACAGCAAACGAACGTACGGATTACCTGATGGAAAGCAACTAGCGCGCTTCAGCGCCGCCAGTTGCTTGCCTTTTATCTCATTTTAGTTCGTTCGGCTTAGCTACGTAACTGTTTGTCAAGGTATCTCGACTTGTTTTAAGCTAAGTAAGAGGCTAATAGTTATAAGTAACGCAATGCTCGATAAATTACGTGGTACCGGTAATAATAAACCACAGCGTTGCGTTTCGCCTCGTGAGTGGGTTTACCGAAGGCCCAATCCTTCCCCTCCCCCAATTCCTCCCCGATCCCTTATCCCCAAAATGTCGGCAACACTGCCGCACTCGTAACTCCTCTGTTATTGCGGAAGTCCGCTATTGGGCGGCGCTGATTGCTTACCACCAGGCAATCCGTCTGCTCGTTTGCCTTTCACTAAGTTATTTTTGCATTACAAAGCGTTTTATAAAAAGAAAACTAATACAAAAATCAATCTTACCATTATTAGTAATTCTGCACACTAGAGTTTTGAACACCTTGGGTTTATAATAGATGTCGTTGTCGTGCACGAACACCAACGCGGCGCCCACTGGTGACCACTCCGCGTACTGCAGCAGTGGAGCTGATCTGTCATCCTCTATAGGAGACACTGGGATTTTGTTCCTGGAATTATAAAGTGTAGGAGTTAAATATGGAACGATTTTTGTGCCTTTTTGGAGAATTCATGTGTTTAAATTTAAAGTGTAAATATAAGCAGTAATAACATTACAATATGCTAAACTAAAGGTACCTAAATTTGGTCGATAACACCGAAAAGGCTCTAAAATGAATTCCTATAAGATTCAATAGGAACAATTCAATATTTTTTGTATATTTTGAATATTTATAATCATAATCATTATCATTCATAATCATTATTTTTTATTGCATCCACAATGTAAGATAAGATGGTAATAATATGTATAGTAACAATCATGGACCCTGATGGGCACAGCAAACAGTAAATTTAGAAGAGAAGCAGGCTTGTTTTATATAGAAATAAGCTCAAGTATTTCATATTCTAAGTATGTATAGTATTGCTATTATGTTTATATTTTAATAGGTATTTAGATATTAAAATATATATTTTTTGTATTTTGTATATTATATTATAAGGTTATCCGTTCTAAATTTTATATAAATTTATTGTTATATTTATTTTATTGTATTGTATTAATTATATATTGTTATATTTTTTGTTAAATTGAGTATTTTACTGTTCAGTTTTTTACATTTAAGTTACTTTTATATTATCTATATATTCATATATTATTTATTATATTTAATAAGGGGTGTAAGGGGGCGAACTTCCATCTTTCGCCCCAAGCCAACCTCACCTGCACGCGGTGCATCCTGCTGGTCAACGAACGAGGCTCTGGCGACCGACCGACGGCGGTATATCCGTCCCTTACAAACAGGCGAAATTAAGTACCGCAGGCCGGTGACGGGCAGCAGCGTTACCGGTGCGAAAAGTTTCGCCCTGCGATCGCCAACCCGCCTGCCCAGCGTGGCGATTATGGGCAATACCTCCTATGGGCAAAAAACGAAGGCCACGGCCCCCAGTTCCCGGCAGCCCCACTATTCCTGGTCATGGTGGCGACCATGGTAACGGTGGGGTAGGGGGTGCTAAGAATCTCCGGGCTACGGGAGGCCACCACAACAGACTGACCCTGGCGACGTACAACGGACGCACGCTACGGCTTGACTCGCATCTAGCGCAACTAGAGGTGGAACTTGGGAAGATCAGGTGGCACATACTAGGGTTATGTGAAGTCCGAAGAGAGGGGGAGGACACGATAACTCTCAAATCAGGCCACCTGATGTACTTCCGTGAGGGAGACCAAAAATCCCAAGGTGGCGTTGGGTTTCTGGTTAACAAGTCCCTATCTAACAATGTTGTGGAAATGTCGAGTGTGTCGAACAGGGTGGCGTACCTCATTATAAAGCTCACCGAGAGGTATAGCCTTAAGGTGGTCCAAGTGTACGCACCGACCTCGGCACACTCCGATGATGAGGTGGAGGAGATGTTCGATGATATATCGAGGGCCCTCCACTCCACCACTAGGACTCACTTCAGCATTGTTATGGGGGACTTTAACGCCAAAGTGGGAGTACAAAATTGCAGTGAATCGGTAGTAGGATCCCATGGGTATGGAAACAGGAATCATAGGGGGCAAATGCTCGTCAATTTCCTCGAACGGGAGGGGATGTTCTTAATGAATTCATTCTTTAAGAAGCAGCCCCAAAGGAAGTGGACGTGGCAAAGCCCCGACACTATGACAAAGAACGAGATCGACTTCATCATGGCGGACAAAAGGCACATATTCAGAGACGTCTCCGTGATTAATAGGTTTAATACCGGTAGCGATCACCGACTCGTCCGAGGCTCTCTGAATATCGACTTCAGAGCCGAACGAGTCCGCTTGATGAAGGCCAGGCTCCGACCAACCCTGTTTCAAATCAAAATGGGATCTGAAGCGTTTCAGTTAAACCTGGAGAACCGATTTGCTGCCCTGGAAACCACAACCGACGTTAACCGGAACCTTGAAAACGTGGTTCGAGTTCTCAGGGAAGAAGGTACGAGATTTTGTGAAATGCAGCGTAAGGGCAGGAAGTCGAAGCTTTCGGAAGAGACTTTAGGGCTTATGAAGAGACGACGTGAAAACCCACCCGTCACTTCGTCAGAGAAGCGGGCTCTAAACCGAGAGATTAGCAAACACGTGCGACACGATCTCCGGTGCTCGAATACCCTTGCAATCGAGAGAGCGATCGAGCAAAACCGGGGGCCAAAAGTGTTCGTACAATCTCTTGGAAGAAGCCACCTGACGAAGTTGACCACAGCAAGTGGAGAAGTCGTTGTCTCGAAGCCGGCAGTTCTTTCGGAAGTAGAAAACTTCTACGGCCGGTTATACGCTTCGCATGCATCTCGACCTGACCCCGGAAATGAGGACTCTAGAGCCACTTTAATACGCCATTACACCGAAGACCTGCCAGAAGTCAGCATTGACGAAATCGAGATCGCTCTTGGACAGCTTAAAAATGGAAAAGCCCCTGGAGAGGATGGCGTTACGACAGAGCTTCTAAAAGCAGGCAGCAAACCGGTACTCAGGGAGCTGCAAAAGCTATTTAACGCTGTCCTGTTTGAAGGGAGAACTCCAGAGGCGTGGAGTCGGAGTGTGGTCGTCTTATTCTTCAAAAAGGGTGACAAAACCCTACTGAAGAGTTATCGACCCATTTCCCTTTTAAGCCACGTCTATAAGCTGTTCTCGAGAGTGATCACGAACCGCCTTGCGCGAAGACTTGACGAATTCCAACCACCGGAGCAGGCTGGGTTTCGGAGCGGATACGGCACCATAGACCACATCCACACAGTGCGGCAGATTATACAGAAGACTGAGGAGTATAATCAGCCCCTGTGCCTAGCATTTGTGGACTATGAGAAAGCCTTTGACTCGGTCGAGATCTGGGCTGTTCTGGAGTCCCTGCAGCGATGCCAAGTAGATTGGCGATACATCCAAGTGATGAGATGTCTCTACGAGGCCGCCACCATGTCCGTCCAAGTACAGGATCAGCAAACAAGGCCGATACCGTTGCATCGAGGTGTGAGACAAGGGGATGTTATCTCCCCGAAATTGTTCACAAATGCAATGGAGGATATGTTCAAGACGCTGAACTGGAAAGGACGCGGCATCAACATAAATGGCGAGTACATCTCTCACTTGCGATTTGCAGACGACATCGTCATCGTAGCAGAAACGCTGCAGGACCTACAACGGATGCTGAATGACCTGGCTGACTCTTCTATACGCATCGGCCTACGGATGAACTTGGATAAAACCAAGGTCATGTTCAATGAACATGTACTACCGGAACCGATTGCAGTACACGACGCTGTTCTCGAAGTCGTTCAAAAATATGTATACCTCGGGCAGACATTGCAGATGGGTAGAAACAACTTCGAGAACGAGGTGAATAGAAGAATTCAGCTAGGTTGGGCAGCATATGGAAAGCTGCGTCAAGTCTTCACGTCGTCGATCCCACAGTGCCTAAAGACGAAAGTCTTCAATCAGTGCGTCCTACCTGTCATGACATACGGAGCCGAAACGTGGACACTGACGGTGCGGCTGGTTCACAAGCTAAAAGTCACTCAGCGAGCTATGGAGAGGGCTATGCTCGGCGTTTCTCTGCGAGATCGAATCAGAAACGAGGTGATCCGGCAGAGAACCAAGGTAATCGACATAGCCCACCGGATTAGCAAGCTGAAATGGCAGTGGGCTGGCCATATTAGCCGAAGAACCGATGACCGTTGGAGTAGACGAGTTCTTGAGTGGAGACCGCGTCTCGGCAAACGTAATGTAGGACGTCCTCAGGCAAGGTGGAGTGATGATTTGCGCAAGATGGCTGGCAGGAGCTGGATGCGAGTGGCCGAAGATCGATCCCAGTGGCGTGCAATAGGAGAGGCCTATGTCCAGCAGTGGACTGAAAAGGGCTGATGATGATGATGATGATTTATTATATTTAATTGTATTGAATCTTTGATGCATATACTTCATCGATGGATTTGACGATATACTTGATTTAAGATATTTATTAGTTTTTTTTTTAAAGTATACTGCTTGACATAGGAATATGACGACGTCACATTTCTGTTTTTCATATTCATAGAACAGTTTCGTTTTTAACATTTCATTAAAAGTATTGAATTTGATTAGTTGTCAAATACCGTATTATTTTAATACTAATTTCCGCCCACGTAGTGTGTTGATAAAAATTAGCCTATGTCCTATTGCGGGGCGTATCCTATGCCTTTGCCAATTTTCACCCAGATCCGTCCAGCCGTTTTGGCGTGATTGAGTAACAAACATCCAGACATCGTAACTTTCCCATTTGTAATATTAGTAAAATAATAGTAAGATATTAGTAAGAAGTAAGATTTATTCTTAGTTCATTATTTTTTTACAACAATAGTGCCAGACTACGTACCTGTTGATGACGTCATAGACGTGATACCGCGCGAGGCGCGCGTGTCGCCACCCAGGCCTCACGTCGGAGATCAGCAGAACGAATTTCAAGTCCGCTGACACTTTGAAGTCCACTGCGTTTAGTTCTCTCTGTAAACAAATGAATATTTACTTTAATAACATTAAAAAATAGGGAAAATACTAAAAAGCATTGGTGTTTCACATTCGCATACCTATACTACCTACTAGGAATTGTTCGGAGAAATCTTTTGGTTTGTATGTCGACATTATTTAATTCACTATAATTATACACTAAATTCAAATTTAGGACCATCGGGTCTCAGAAAAAGGGGTAGACCAAATACACGCTGCAGCGTGTATGACATCTCAAAAGTAGCAGGTGCCCACTGGATGAGAGTATCAGAAGACAGGCAGCACTGGTTGTCCCTGGAGGAGGCCTTAACCTTCTAATGAGAGGCTAATGGAGAAGAGGGTTATTGCAGAGAAAAAAACTCATAATTGTTTTTATTTTAAGCATAATGTTTTCTTTTTTCTTAATTATAAGTGTTCATTTATTGTGTGTGGCAAGAAATAAAACCTTTTTTATTTTATTTTTATTTATTTTATGCACTAAACTCAACGAGTTAATTTTCAAATTTCTTTTAATGTTATAGTTTATACTTATCATTAAATTCCGTTTTCAAATCATTTAGGTACAGATTGTTTTTTTCGGTTCTGAATGAGATTTAAAGAAAATAAATAAAAAAGAAGTTCAAATATAAACAGCATTAATATAAACATAAAATACCTATTCTATACGTAAAAATACAACAAAGCTACAAACACTTCAGAAATAAATAAAAACTGAAATAAAACGTACATACGTCACTGGCAACTCACGAACCATTAAATTCAACATTGTTTCCCGCGCAAATTAACGGCCGCTTGTGAAGAGTTGCCTTTTTGACACCTACGTAGTGGACGCAGCCGTGTTGGACAATTTATCTTTTAAATGTTTGCATTTGAGTGGCTCTCATTCAGTGGAATCAAGTCGCTTTTGTACATTTATTTCCCAAATCTTTCTATTTATTTTAACTCTGGTGTTTTACGGGAGAACTTTTTAAGTGGTAAAACATGTTTTATAACTACATAGTATAAAACAAAGTCGCTTTCGCTCTTCCTTTATACTTACTACATGTGCGTTGAAACATTTGAAACTACGCAACGAATTTTGATGCAAATTTTTTTAATAAGTTTGTTGAGTGATTGAAGAAGCAGTCTCATAATATGTATTATGTAATGTAATTTCTTATTTTTTATATTTATATTTTTATATGATTTCTTATATTTTTATTACTTATATAATTATTATTACGTAATTTCTTCGCGTGAAAAGAGGCCTTTGCTCAGCAGTGTGCACTTAGGCTGAGATGATGTGTGATTCAGAAACAAAATCTCCACAGTTGGGCTTCAAAATTGATCCAACATTCCGTAGATAGACCGTAGCATATATTTTTGCAGTACTCTAACGAAGGTATCAGTTCGCATTCGACGGTCGAGGCAACAAATCAACCAGCTTGATGCAGCTACTATAGTTCAAGGTGTATAGGTACTTGCCTGGCTATATTTCAACATAAATGTCTATTGTTGATAAATGGGTCGCACGCGTTGCCCAACTGGTCTATGTGCGAATATAGACGCTACAAAGACGCTACCGTGAAATATTTTAGCAATTCTTTACGAAAGAGTTATCGACACATAAAGTTTATGTATTGTTTGCGATGTATTTTGTTTTAGAGGCTTGTGTTGTTTCATTTGTTTTTACTTAATAAATAGAGGAACATTTATAGTGTAGGTGTTTATTGTATTAATGAAGAGAAACAAAGATGTAAGTTATTTTAACTGCACGGTTGGCGCTGTGGCTGGGCTGCGAAGTGTCGCAGTTTCGATACCCGCACAAAACAACTCTTTGTGTGAACAAGAGATTGTTGTTACGGGTCTGGGTATGATGTGCATGTGAAATTGTAGGTTTGTAAACGCACCCAAGACACAGGAGAAAAACGTAATGTGGGGCAACGTATATAAATACATTATGTATGTGTAAGATGTTAGAGCGCTATGCCAAAACTTAGTTCTAGTGTATTTTCTGACTATTTCGACAACATGTTATTTGGTTTGTAAAATACGTGGTACTTTTATAGATCAATTTATAACTCGTGTGACTTTTTTGAGGGCACAAATTATTGTCCCGCCAGTATTATTTATAGTCAGGCGGGCCCCGTCACCCACTGCGGCCGCCACCCCGACCGCAGGACTCCACTATGAGGCGCGCGCGGAACACGGCGCCGCCGCCTCGAGGCCTGCTGCTGATCGGACGACAAGACGCTCCGAGTCTGTCGTCCGCAGGCCGCGCCTTACGGTGGTCGCATGTCGGCCTACGACGACGTCTAGTGCGTCTGCTGCGGGAGGGGAGAGAGGAGGCAGTCTCTCTCTCTCTTTCCGCTGCCTCCTTTGCGAGCATCACGGCCTCGCAAAAGGTAGCGACGGCACTCCACCTTGACTCGCTCCCGACCATAGTAGACACTACAGCCGGAAGCCAGAGATTTCCTGCAGCACCTTCGGCCGCGATCACGTCACGGCGTTGCTCGGCCCAAGCTGGGCACTCCGCCAACGTATCGTCGCGGCAATCACCACAATGGTGGCACTGAGGAGTGTCAGACTCATTGTGACTAAAAACCACCCCGCTTCTCCTGCATCGTGTCGGGTCGTGTATTAGGTATTGCGCAAGGACTGGCTTCTTAGTTTAATTTTGTAATGTTAAGAAGAAAACAAATAATATAGTTAATGGCGTCATAATATAAAACAATATGGGATTTATCAGGTAAAATTATAATTACAAGTGTCATTTAGTACCTAATTTAAATAAAAACTCATAAACTAATTTCAACCATCATTGCACTTGCCGAGATTGTAGCATGGCAGAGTTCTTTTTTGTGGTACATTAAAACGGCTCGCGTTAACGAGACAATATTGTCCAATTGTCACAATTACATACACGGCTACCCATTAACAATATCGTTAATTAATTCTGTGGTGCGCTTATATCACGTATGGCCGCCGCACATCAAGCTATACAAACTATCAATCGATATTCGACGTTACTAAGACCCAATTAAGTTGAGTATTGATTGATATTTGACAGATATGCAGGTGGAACTCGATGTGCTTGTGTCAAAATGTTACGAATTCACTAAGGATGTGTCGTGTTCGTTTAATAATAATCATTAAGATGTTCTCAGCAGAGATTAAATTGTATTATCATAACCGCAACAATAAATAATATTTATAATGTGTTTGAAAAGCAACTTTATGTTGATGCAATAAAAGAGTTCGGCGATATTTTGAAGAAATACCAAGGATAATACCAACCGACTAGCATTCTTTTGTTTTGAAATGATGGTAAGCAGTTGGCGCCACCCCTGGATTCCACAAGAGGCGTTTCGAGTGCGTTGCCGACCTTTGTGGATTAGAGTTTCGAAGGTTTAGTGATTGGGGAGGGAAAGCAAGATAGGGTCTCCGCTAACCTCACTGACACGGTGAAACACAAAGCTGGAAGCCGTGGTATCACTTGGGTTGAGCCAACCTATTCGTGCCGAAGCATGGCTCTCCCACACTCGTTGACGTTGATGACGTTATAAGTTTTTTGTGTCAAAGATATTACTTTATTATTTCTCTTAATTTAGCCGAAAAATACAAATACCCACTAGTTGGTGGGTATTTGTATTATGCTATTAGCTATAATTAAATCAATCAACCTATTGTTGGTTTGAAATACTTCAATAGATTTATTTTTTGAAACAATTTGTATTAATTGAACAGAGTTTTTATCCTAAATGTCACCGTTTGTTGCATATCGAAGCATGAAGAGGATTTTGATGAGACAATGAATTTATCTAAGTGAATAGGCCATTAAGAAGCACTTTTAAACGTCAAAAAATATGTATAAAACTAGATGAAATAAGTACGTTGTTATATTTTATTTGATAAACAATTCACTTTTTTTATGACGTTAAGAAGACATAGAAGCAGATATGAAAAAAATTAAAAATTAAATATAAAAAACTTTACCAAACACCTAAAAAACAAAACTACAAACATCGAATCATTGCAACAAAAAAGAAAATACAAAAACTTAAACACCCCATAGAGAAAGATAATATCTCCACCAGAACACGCACTTCGGCGGCCATATTGAATAAAGCCGACAGTTTGCCGCCAAAATATCAGCGGAGCGACTAGACGTGTGCCAGGGTTCCGCACACAGAATACATAATGAAATGAACGGATATTAAAAACGCAATGAAACAGGTGCGGGAACCGAAACACTGAACGTGAAACTGGGCGACTGTTGCCAAGTGTGAACTTACTTATAAGTACATATAGTTAAGCGTAATAAAGCTATTTGTTTTTATATGGGATAGTACGGCATAGTACCTAGCGGATAGACTGATGGTAAGCAATACGCGCCATTGGCAACTAAAACGCCAGCGCTTGGAGCCCCTTTAGGAATAAGGGTTTTCAGGGAAATGGGGTGGTGGAAATTGGGCCTATGGCGGTCACATTGACATGGCGAAACATTGTTTTATGTGGTATCACTCCAGAGATGCCAAAAGAAAAGAAACTAGTCAAGTCTTCCTCTAGCTTACATAAAGACATCAGTAGCAGGGCCCATGTCGATATTTTTTCATATAAATCTTGCTTTTTTGTTTTTAAAAACGAAAATTAATTTATAAGGTGTCTTTTAAGGCTCGTCTTAACGAAGAAAGTTGATGGAAATTGGATTTATTTTGTCAGGTCTATTTATGTTCAAACTTCTAGTATTTTTTATGATAGGTACCGTTCACTTTATATCTCGATGCTCTGCCCATCCTAAAACATAAAATATTTACCGATTGACAACAGACATTGCCTCATCAAATAAAGTGGCCCAAAAACCAATACAAAGTCTAAACACGGGCGAAAATATTTCAATATTTCACTAACTGATCACTAAAATATTTCCAATGAAAAAAAATATTTTAATCTCGTAAAAGCTGTAACGTTTTAAACTGAAAATATTGCGATGAAATTGTACAATTTAAATATTTGAA